ATATCGCGTAGTTTTCTGAATACCCAATCCGTGCTTGTGCGACATAATCAAGCACCTGTAAAACACTATATATATCCACTTTGCTATTGTATTTTGGAATTCTATCTACCATAAACCAAGATACATCCAGGTTGCGTTTCCCGCTATTGATCATCTGGGAATAGCCACAGTGCTCTTGCTTCGCTAGCGGACTTTTCTCCAGCTATTCGTTCGATGTACATAGCAAGTAACTCCCTGTTTTACCTTCGCTTTTCTGCGATATCTAACTGTGGAGCGATCCAACCCTCCGCATCAGTATCCAGGCATTCCAGGGCGAGTTGCTGGGCCTCGTTCCAGGCTTGATATTCCGTAAATTCGCGTTCATGCGCGTTGATCTCATTATTACTGAATGAATAAGGGCACTCTCCGGTAAAACCTAGACCCGACCAGTTCCAATAGATTTCTATAAAACATTCTCGGAGTAGAACAGCACCAGCTTCGGATACTTCACCACAACGGATAAAAATCTCTCGAAAAACACGAGATATAGTCTCCATAGCGTTATGTATACATTTATTTTCAAGGAGTGTCGCAACTTCATATACCTTCGCTAATTTAGACTATATCTACTCCTGTAAAGCAATCACTTTATCATCGTTATCAAGTTCACTAAAGTTGTCTGGAAGTTTTAGATATACAAGTCCCTTAACGTAACTTTATAAAGGGTTTAAAAAGATCGGCCACTGAGCTTGAAAAAATAAAAAAAGGACTGAGATAGACTGAAAATCAATTAATAATATAATTATATTATCATCAGGCGCAATGAAAATATTTTTTATATAGAGATTGGTATGCCATAGTGTAGGCTATGCAAACTAGGCTAGTATCGAATGCGACTCCATTATCCGCATAAAATTTATTATAATTTCAAGAAGCTAGACTTAGTTTTTAATACTTCCCTTATTTAATACTAGTCTATTATTCAAGTAACCGCTCAAAATCCGTCACAGTTCCCGTTTCGCAATTAATATCCTATAATTAGATAATGTACTCCCTAAGACCCCTTAGTATGAATATATAAACAAAGCTTAGGAATACTCATAAGGTCCTTGGTCAAATTCTACGTCTCGGGAATGCCCAATACTGGAGAAACGACCGCACGACGGACCAATGCAAAACAACCTGGACAAATCTATATTCTCATCAAATACTTGGCATCGCAAGTGGTTTGTATCTACTCGACGATATAGTCCACTATAGACAGGAAAATAAATAGCTGAAAGTTGAGCCTCGAGCTTGGTTAAACTTTTTATTAAGTTAAGTTTCTTGATTTCTGTTATCTTTTCTTATTACTCGAACAGCGGAACTCTTACAGCCTTCTCTATAATAATATATTCAGCACCCACAGAATTTGAATTGTGCAAAGACCAGGCAAATACACGTGGAACAGGAATACTTGTATACTTCCTTACTAGTAATGTGACATTATATATAAGCACTCTAAAAATCCGTGACCCGGAATACATACCATATTCGAGAATACCCACTTCGGACGCTGTTATAAGAGAGGCTGGCCCAGCAATACAACAAGGCAATTTTACAATTACTTTCTCTCCATTTTCCTTTATCATTAGAAGAGCGTTACTAAAACCTCCCTCTAGTTTTTCCACCGTTCTAATCTAAGAGAGATTCCCACCGGCGGCAGCAGCCACATTACAAAGGACATCTATATCGAATTTTAGGTAGCGGCGACCAAGTTGCCATTACTCGTTAACAAGAAAATAGCCATTGGTATATGCGAAGAGCTTCTCGCGGCTGATTAATTTACCTAGACAAATTAGAAACGTACTTGGTTAAGGACATCAATCCGCTTACCACGGCATAGCATAGATATCTTAGCTACCGACCGCCGATGCTGCTGCGTTCGTTTGAGGCCTCTTAGGAAGGATAACATGACAGATAGTAGGTATCACATCAAGGTCCAGGTTACCATGTATTACGTAAGGAATTATCGGATATCAAGCTGCACAACAACTTCCGGAGGCCAGACCCCTTTAAAGAAGGGCGACGATAGACAGGGAGGAAAAACAGCGTGCTTGCTTAGGCGGCCGTGCCGGTCCGACCTACATCCGGAGGTAACTCAATATCCAGGCAAATCAGCAAGAAAGGGGTGGTTTCAAGTCAGAGCCTGCCTCCTTGAGTCTTGGCCTGTTGATGTTAGGGCTTTGTCTCTCGGAACCCTCAACCACGCTCCGACATCCCAAGTTATGAGAGCCAGCACCTACACTTATTGTCTTAATATGGACATTTCCAAGCTATCATGTACTATCATTATCATTAGTAAGAAGAGAACGAGCCCAATATGTCAAAAGTAAAGGCTCAAATGGAGCCGAAGGTGGATTAACAGAGCGCAACTCTCGAGCCTAAGACTAAGGGAGGCAGGCTATACGAGCCCGAGGGAAACCTTTGACTTGGGCTATCCCTGATAAATAGTAGAACATGAAGTTCGTGTCCGCTCAAACATAATTAACTAGGGTATACTCTAGAATACTGATTAGATTCAATAGAACGTCAAGTCATCCTCTTGTTTACTTGAAGAGATCTAACTCTCTCTATACTAACTAATTTGATCTTGAGGTATCCATCCGTCGCAAGAGTTCCCATGGAAGGCCGTGGATAATTTTTAGATTTTAATGTTTTGTTGTAGTATTTGCACAATTAACACTGAGGAATTCTATCTATATAAAATTTAAGAGCCTTATTAGCTGGTGGTGATGGATGTATTTCGGGAGCTATCTCACCTCTGTAATAAACGACTACTAGTTAGAATAACCTCAAAAGCGACTGCCTCGCAAGCTGAACCAAAAGAAGGAAGGAAGCATTTCGATGACTCTAGCCCAGATCCACGTAATTCTGTTGTAATACATTAGGACCGCTTTGTCTCTTACGTGACATTGACACCTTCCTAGTCACGCGGTGCTCCGTAAACACCGCTCTGGCATAAGACACCCCACACAACTTAGTCACTTTAACACAACCTAAAGTTATTTATGATCTTCTGTGGAGGTGGAGACACTACAACTAGGGAGATGATCGTTGATATCTTTCGTTAAATGGATAAAGAGTTTCACCGTTACCTTCGTTTACACTTTCACTACTCAGGAACATCTTTCTACTCTGTAAACTGAGAATCGAAGCCACGTCGAGTCGTTGGTTAGACAGGATTTCTTTTCTCATTCTTCAATGGCTGTGGGTCTCAAAGCTGAGATTACTTACTACGGAGTAGTCAGCAAGTTACGTCTTGAAAAATGGCTCTTCCAGTTCTCCAGCACCGGGTCATCATCCCCGAACGCCCACCCTTAATGCTCGCAGAGTACGCCAGAGCTATGAACACTTTCGACACCCTAATCACCCAATTTCAAGACCGGGACCATATAAATAATACTGGTCTCAAACCCATTCTTCTGACACGCCTTGTTCGAGATCAGGTGATTGACAAAGATACATTCCTACGTTTTTGTTTCTACTTCATTGGCGAGGAACTCGGCGGAGCCTCGAATAATAACTATAACCTCACCGAACTCTCTGCGTGTCTTTCTTATCTGAATAGTCGTTCTACCTGGGCCGCCGAAATCATCGAAGCCCTCTATAATGGTTTAGTAAATTTCACTAACTTTATTATTGATAACCTCTTCATGCCGTGTATACTGCGCTGCACCTATCCTAATATAGGCGATGCTGATTCCTTTCAGTGAAAGCTCTATCTACAAAGACACCTAATAGCACCCCCGGGAGTGCGTGTCATCTCTTGCCCCAAGAGGCTGGCATCGGTACACCCCAACGTATCGAAGAATTAAGAGACAACTGTCTCAAACGAGACCGACATCGATGTGTTGTCACAAGATACTTCTGTCGAGTGGAAGCACGAGCTAGATCCAAGGTGGATGGTGAGAGGCTCGTAGATGATGACGGGGCGGGTCTTTACGCTGAAAGAAGCACAATGGAAGACTTAGAAGTGGCACATATTTTCCCTCATTCTTTGATGGCGCTCAACAAGGGTGAACAAACGCTGGTATGTAGGATTATGAATGTTCCCCTTTGGCCCTTCACTTACCTTCTATCTAGTCCGAGAGTAAACAGTTGGCACATAAGCTCCTAAATATGTTTGATCCATCGGTTGTTCCCCGCATTAGCGGATGTGATATTGACAAACCAAGCAACGCTATCACACTGATCGAGAGGGCCCATACAATGTTTGGTAATTTTGAAATCGCTTTCGAGCATTTAGGGGGACACACTTACAAGATCGACTATGTCGATCCTGAAGAAATCTTTACCAATCTTGACCTTCCTGTTACGCGTACACTTTTGCTTACTCCAGATCGAAGTATAGACCCCCCTGCTGTGGATTTGTTGAAGTTGCATTATGCCATAGCAAAAGTTTTACACATGAGCGCCGCGGGGGAATATATTGACAATGTTCTCCGAAAAATGGATGAAACATATGGACGGCAACTCAACGCCAACGGATCCACCCCCATCGACCACTATATACGGTTGAAGCTTGGTTTTGTGATGAGCTGATCGAGCGTAGTCCGGTCAAGTGCATAACAACGGGGGCTTCCTAATATCGCAATCCCTCTTCGAATGGCAGCCATAGCATGCCCGTGCCATACCTTAGGGGTAGCAAGGACCTCAAAACTGTTGGAGCTGCTCGTGGGAAGCAAAAAGTCTTTCAAAAAAAAGTATCCCTGATACAGTCCTCCAACCGCGTCGTCTGACACTAGGCCTTGGGAGGCGATATGGTCACGGTACTTCGCGATATTCGATACTGATCGGTCAGGTGGACCCAGCACAGGTCGGACAAAGAGGAATACAGTTAACCGCTGTTTTGAATGAAAATGGAAAGAGGCCAGCTTTGATCCAATAAGAAGCCTTGAGGCTGGTTAGCCAATATAGGAAATATGTAAAGATATTATATATACTTGACCATCTTTGTGTGAGACCACGTGGTCGTATTCAGGGTCTGGGGTTCCACAGCTCCGACAAGAGGTACCAGCCATGCGGGCAACCTCAAGCTTGACACTGTCACTGAACGCGTTGGAAATGCCTATCCCAGGCTGTGAACTGTCATAGTGACCAGGGGAGCGGGAAGGCGACTCAGGCGGAGGCATCAGAGCCCGATAGTTCGCTTTACCTGCCATTATTAGCTGGTGGTGATGGATGGATTTTGGGAGCTATCTCACCTCTGTAATAAACGACTACTAGTTAGAATAACCTCGTATAGGGAAGCAGCTATTGATCATCTATAAAACAAACCCTAGACGCCCCTCTGTGGGGAATGAAGTTCTTGCTGAGCTCGGCGTGCAGAGGAATTCTATGGGGCTGCTGAGTACATAGTGGCTTAGGGGGCGGTTGTTTGACTTACTGCCCATTGAAATGCTCATTCCACGGCGCGTATGACTTCTTTAGCCAACCCACAAGCTCCGCGGTTTCTTGCATGCGGATCTTATCGTGATTGTCATATCTACCGCCTTTCTTTACCTCCACTATCGCCCTATTATCTCGACAAGAGCGAGGGATCGCTCCAGTTCCCCGGAACTTTCGACAAGATTTGCAGCATCCTATCACACGTCTTTCAAGTTATACTATTCGGCATTGCGCACAAGCTGATCGAAGTTTACGGGCGGGTTCCAGATCGCCTTACACAGGACGTGCTGCTTCTTCTTGACACGGCTTTCCGAGCCAAACTTTGATAGACTGCCGAGGGCCTTTTTAAGCAGCCCAGAGGATTTCGCCAGGAGGAGAGAAGAAAAGCTGGGTATACGCAGTGCGTCAGTGAGTGGGTGGGTAAGGGAGGTAAAGGGAGCTACTAAGGCCCCGCAAAAGCGAGTAATACGTAGAGGAGGCGAGAGCACCAAGGACTACAGAATCATTCACCGAGCTCCTCAGTTTGTCACCTACAACATATTCAATGACTATGAACGGTATTGAAGTATCGTAATCCTCGTTAAAACAGGTCCTCGTTTGCTTCCCAACTACCAGGCTGTGGCAAAACTGGCTTTAGACGCAGATCCCTGAACGCGGCTCAAGACGAACCCACAGCACCTTCGCTTTGCACTTGGTTGAGTATGGCTCGTGCACTAACACGGTTGCATGGGTACTACAACAGGAAGATTAAAGCGTTAGCCCGTTCGGCTGCAGGGGTTGGGACAGGTTGGTGTGCAGACTTCGACCAGGGTCAAGGGGCTCCAGGTGATGGCGGTCGTTAGTATAGAAGGTAATTGACGGTTGAGTTCTCCGGCTGGGAGGGACACAATTGTCGATTACTAGTATCAGGCTAAGGGCGTGACAGTGATTATACCTGGGCCTGAGGGTCAAATGACTGAGCTGTTGTAACAAGCTGCCACGGGCATTATACAGCACACAGTTAGCCGCTTAAAAATATGGATTTTAGGAATACTTTGTTATACTAGGAGCAAGATCTTAGTAAAGGGCAGTGCTACAACTGGAATCTGGAGAATTCACATTCTTGGTTTAATTAATCTAAACTAAAATAGTCAAAATGCATTTCCACCTAAACCTGACACAAACTTCCAGTAAACCATCACCATGCTTTGCCTTCAACTATCCCTCAGTCTCTATGATGGACCTGCATGAAGGCTATTGCGCCGGCAGCTTCTTAGTGCTCAGCTGGTTGTTGATACCACATCCTAAGTAGCGAGTGAGCAAGTCCCAGAGATTCTGGGATCCTTCCGAGTATTCAATGAATTCGGACATCGCGATCCTCAAATTCTGGCCGTCATGGATGCCGATGAGGATGCGCACACGGCATCCCGCGAAGCTAAAAACCATTACCTAGAAGAAGAGATGAAAACGGTCAGCAGTGACTCAGATAAACGGAACGCTGAAACTAACCGGAACAATGAGATGATCGAGGAGAGTCTCTGTGCAAAGGCGGGACCACATCGTGGCAACTATGGCCATGACCTCTGCCTTAAGGACCAGCTCGGGATCCTTTGCCTCACTGTGGTGCATGATAACCTTGATATGCGGGAAGGTAGGATGGCTTGAGCAAGCGTAGAAGAAATCGATGATCCAGTGATAATCGTCTCGATGATCCCAATCGTGACGATCAAAAGCTGGGTTAAGATAGAAATCCCTGGTCCCAAGTTAATCTGTCTATTCTAAAGGATGACACAAGATCATATTGGCACTTACGTGTTTCCTCTCCATTTGGTAATCAAAGTCATACTTGGCATGGTCTCTTCGCAGTTGAGCCGTCGGCTTGACATCTGCATGACTAGTCGATCGACCAGAACCCCGGCTTTACAATAAGAGCTTAGTGGCCGGTACTGTACCGTACTGCTGCTGTATCCAGGGCGAAGGATAGTGGCGACGTTGTTCAGTCGCCGTTGAGTCTCGGGGTCCGTAGTGTCCAGCGGATGCTGTTGAATGAACTCTTTGGACAGAGGGACGAAGTAGGCACCTGGGTCTAGCGAACGGGGCATTGCCAGCTCTGTAGTTCTTCTCAGGTCGAGTGGTAGGATATGCACGGGTAAAACCTCCAAGTTTTCCGATTCAAGTGCCTCGGCCTTTAGACCCTCTAGCTCCTTGTAGAGGTCCGCGAGCATGCTATACATTTCAGTCCGTTGACTATCCAAGTTCTTAGATGGATCAATACGCGAAAAGCGACCACGTATGGCGCGGATAGTTCTCTGGATCAAAGACATGGCTAAGTTTGAAAGAGACGATATTTGTCGGTGGAGGTGCTGACAGCCAAGTGAGCAAGGCTTCCGGAGTGAAGAAATGGGAGTGAATAACACAAGATGTGGGAGACTGATGTCATTCGGCACGCTGTTCCGCGCCAAATAACTGGAACACTAGGGTCTGTGAGAATGATTCATGGCTAGTTGTTATTCTGTAGATATCTTTCTCTAATAAAAAGGCAATCACGCGTCACTCGAACCACCGATCATACTCAGGGGAGGTACAAGTGTGAGGGACAGGGCTCATCGGTCTACGAATGGGGTCTACCGATGGGAGAACTCGATGTAGGACGGCCTCCTTAATCTTGTGCCCAAGGTGAAGAGCCAAGATCATCCAAGTGATCTACTGGTCTAGGTTTAGGTAAGTATCAATCAGAGAATGACCCCTTTTTCTGCTGAATCCGACGGTCTACGTGCCAATTAGGCACATATCCAATTATTGCCTGGCTTTACAGTTGAAACATCATTTAGTCTACTGAAAAACTCTAATAGTGCGCATGCTCTCGACTGTTCTTATGTTGCACTCCGTAACGGTCCAGTCTTATTGACGACATTGGTAAGGATTCTATTTTTTGTAGGTGTCGAAAGGCTCTAACCCTATGACAATGAATAAAGCCACTGTCACTACATGAGGGAAGAATACATTATAAGTAGAGAGATTCATTTAAATAGCTATCTTACCTTTGTAATAAACTACTACTAGTTAAAATAACCTTATATAGGGAAGTAGCTATTAATCTTAAAAGTAACTGTCTTACAAGCTGAACAGTCAAAAGAAGGAAGTAATTGTTCTATGACTAGAGCCCAGATCCACGTAATTCAGTTGTAATACTGCACAAGGTTGGAGGGCTGCTGAGTACAGTGTAACAATTATATAACAAATAGCAATCAGCTGATAAATATAGCTCAAACCTTTAATATTATGCTTGCTTTGCTCAGCTGCTCCTCTCAGTTTCTAATGTGTTGTTAGAATAATATTTATATAAGCACCCTTTGGCGTACGGTCTGACTACGACTGGCGGTACGCTCTCAAGCTTACGGCAAAACATGTGGCATAGGGAAACTTGGATATCTCCACGATTCTCTGGAGCAATATATTGAAACTTTAACAAAACCAATCGCTTGAGGTGTTCAATCCCTCAAGCGCTCAGAATCTATATAGATCATCGGGCAGCCGTCGGCGGGGTGATCATTGCCTCGGGCAACCGCCGTGACATATATACCAATGCTTTCAAATAGCCAATGACCCACTAGATGCTTGTTGCATGTTCAATGAGAGGACTATTAGTCGCTGTCACTGTCTTCATAGTCACTGTTTGTGTTGTTGGGAAGTTGTCCAATATATCCAGCCAGGTCCTCGACTTGTTGGAAGATGGCTAATTAGCACACAGCAAACGCACCTGTATATCGAGTTGGTTGTTACTATACCTGTATCAAATTTGATCAGTTGCCTCGGATCAAGTTCCACTCCGAACTCCTATGCATCCATCAACAATTTAGAATATATTTTTTTAAAATAATTTCAGATTGTAGGAGGAATCACGGTTTTACTCGTATACGCACGTACCATTTGAATATCGGTTAAAAGCTTCCCTATTAAATGTTGGTTGCATCTAAGGAGAAAAGGGAAAGGAGTATCCTCGATCTGGGGTATTTGTTAGATTGAAGGGTTCGCTTTTATAGGTGAGAAGGTCAACCATACCTCTTCGTCATCCACACCTTCCTCCATAATCATACTCTTGATTCTCGATTCAATGTCACCATGGTCCTGATCGATGTTTCCATCACTACCATAACCTCCATCGTCATCACCATCCTGATTACCATTATCAAGCGTGATTAGCTCCCCATCAATATAATCCATTCTCCCTTCTAAAATATCCCTATACCGATACCAGGACTTCTCATAGCTAGTTTTGTTCTCGAAGAGTCTTATCTCCTGATCCCGATTATTGGCATTCGGATCATCCCATGAGCAGTCACAGTCTGGACATCTCTCGGACTTCAAGTCTGGCAGGTCGTAGGCCTCCTTACCTTGAAGCGCCGAAAAGAACATTTGTGTCGAGATGTACGAATTCTGCTTAATATGCCACCACTGGCACCCAGCGTAGCTGGAGTCTTGGTAGCGGGCCACTCGAATGCCGAGTTCTGGGTTCAGGAAGCAGTCGACCACCTCGTCTAATGCGTAGAGGATGGCATTCTCATTCGTGTCTTCTGGCAGATTGGACCTGTACGCGATGGTGTATTCTTCGTCATAGTCGGTGTCCCGGCTGAATTCGCCTATGTGGCCCTCAAGAAAGCCGATCAGTCGCTCAGCCACTGTCGGGAGGTCCTTCCATTTGACGTGGTTGATACTGTATTTCCGGTGGTAACCGCAGACAATCAGTTTGACATTGACCATTTTGGGCACACAAGGAAATTTGTGATTGAGGAGATGCACAAGAGGTAGGCGCGGAGTGAATATCTGCGCGTTTAAATAATTTGTACCCTATCGGATAGATTTACTTTCCGGGACATGTTCGAATTCTAAGCGAGGTGGATTCAGTGGAGAGCGACATCAGCTAGCTCCATAGGATATGATGCCATCAGCTGTACCAGATATTCCTATAGTAAAAGCCCTCTAAACACCACATACCCCACTATTTTTCTCGTAGTTTTCAATTTTTAAACCTTAAATCGTATAAAACATCGACAACTACGATATATACATTTCTCTACTGACAATAATCCTGCTATCAGAATACTGTCTACTATATAGAAGGACTAATAGATATATATATATACATACTCGCAACTATATGTACTACGTAAAATCCTTGTTTCTGCTGGTCTATATAGAAACTTCACTATAAGTATTCCTCCCATACAACGATTTAGAATGGCTTGCTAAATTAGTTACTTATAACAAGGTTTTGCTGTACTTGGAAAACTCCCCACCAGTGGTTCAGACTATTTCACTAAAGCTTGTTATTTCAGCTCCAGAGACGACGCCACGCCGCATTTTCCCCACAATCGATCGACACACTCATACCATGCCATGCAGATATAGTAGTGCCTCTAGAACAAAGGTTCTGCTCTTGATAGAGCTGAGACTGCGTTCCAAGCATAGAGAGTGCGAGCCCTAATGGGTCCTGGTATTTACAAATATAGCCCTATCATAACAGCTCCAGGCAACATTCTTTAGGTGTTCAGTAAAGGCATCTAGTATCTTCTTCATCATAGCCCAGGATATTTCAGCTGACCCCACTGCTGACGTGTATCCACTCTCGGCAATTTTGGGCATCAATACTCCTCCGCCTTTAGCGAACCGCCCGGTAGGGATCGGCACGATCTTACCGCAGTAACAACAATCGGTATCCGGCAGAATGATCAAGTCAAGGTATATACTAGGTCTGACAGTAACTCGGCACAACGTGTTGGCTCGGTTCCCCGCCCACTTAATACCGGGACCACCAATTGGAGCCTCAAGAATCTCAGATCCTGTGCTCAGTAGCTCTTGAAAATTCCTCAGTATACTAAGCTAAGAATCTTATTCCCTACAGAGAGATATCTAGGGTTTTTCTTATAGAAATCAATAACTATCGGAATATAGATACTACAAAACTAATATATCGAGACTTTCTTTAATATATACATAGTAGCGGTTATATCAACATATAGATTATAAAGCTTATCACGTAGGTATAGTTTATATATATAGTTACTAAATAGCTGACTAGTCCCTCCAGTTTTTGTATAGTATTAGAAATACACCGCGTTAATCCACCAATGCAGGAGATACGTAATAATTGTCAAACTTTAGGAGTACCTGTGGATGATTGAATGTAAGGCGACTATTCAACAGAAAGCTTGTGGTCCTCGTACTGCCTCAACCAGGCCGAAAAAACTAATGGAACTGTGCAAAGCATATTAAGGAAACCAGAAAGTACATCAAGTAGACTAGAATGGACCGGACATTAGGGCATCCGTTGTCAAATAATACGCAGCGCTTGTTCCCATCGCCTGAACCAGCTTGAAAAGGATCACAGATCTTTCAAAGAATATGTTGGTGCCGTCCTTGATCTACTGCCTGGAAGCATCAGTTATCGTGATCAGGAAGCCCACTGTACTATCCACGACTCCCTTGCTACGGAGACTATGTCAGCGATCAGAGAGCATTGAGGAACGCCGGTCTATGGGGTGGGCATGGTCACGAAGGTCTTGAAGACAATATCCCTGACCAGGCCTAAGTAGTCGCATAAATATAAGTTTTTCGCCTTCGGATTGTTCGTCTGGATTGCTCTTGATTTGATTTATTCTCTCCGTGTATTCCTTAATCATACGTTCTCAACAAGTGGACAATTAAATTGTTGCATCTCCCAATCCCAAAGATCCTAATTATGAGAATTAGTAATCTCACATCGAAAGCTGGGGCGTCCGACACACGTGCCCCAGATGGCAGAAGAATACATGTGACACAAGACTTACCCAGTCAAACATTTCGAGCGGACTATCACCGTTAAGAAAGTCTTGGAAGGTTGTGTAAGGAAAGGAAGTCCCCTCCACTGTGGCTGCCATGTGTTCTGCGAGTTGGGAACTGGAGAGCTCACTAGTCTCTGCTGCAGCAGGCTGGGAAGAGCGCAGATCTTCACCTGCCACAGCGTGGCCAATCCCATATAACATGGAAGCAACTCGCTCGGCTGCCTTTGCAATCTCGACTGACCGCCGCGGCGTGTCTTTCAGACTCAGATATGTTTTATTAAGCAATTGGATGAGCTCCGCCCGCGTACTTTCGGAGAAGGCCTGGGCGGTCTTCGATTCATTAAGCACGTCCAGACATATTACCATGGCAGCAGTCAGGCAGTCAGAAACCGAGTGAGATGCTCCAAACCAGGCCCGCTGTCTGTTGCACGGACGACGCAGAATGTCTTGGAGTTTGCATTGATGCTCAAGAATGCATCGGGCAGCGTCGACGCACGCCCAACGGAAGGCTTCGTAGCCATTCGTTATTCGCGGAGACACCAGGTACTGGCGATGTAAGATGCAGCGAGAACGCTGATAGATCATCTCCAAAGTATGCTGCATGAGCGTGTTGTCAGTCTGGCTTTCGGAGGCCTTTGTTGTAAGAGGCATCCTCAGTGAACCGGGGATACGGCCTCTTGCGGTTTTCAATTCCTCGTCTAGATAGAGAGTTCTCTCTGGTGAGATGGTCCCCCTTGAAGTGATGTCTGTGATCTTATTGGCGATAGAAAACATATCGTCCAGCATCAACATGTACGTGATACGGCTTGGTGTCTCCATTTCTGGTCGTGACGGTGGTAGGATTGGCATGGCGGGATCCAGATCCTCATCCAGCAGATTGCGTGGGCGAGCGAAGTCTCCAAGCCCTTGGTAAATTACCCGGGGCAATCCTGTTTGCAACGCTACGATAGAGTCAGTAACCGATAGTACTAACCAGCTCCTACGGCGCATCTCCAGCTCAAAAGGTCGTAGTGGAGGATGACACACGTGGGTACTTCGATGATATCCCATCATAATGGCCAAGCGCGAAATAACCCCAGCCAATATAGTAATACCTGTTTTCGAGTCATTACTTCCCAGATACTCGATCCCCATATACATTATTGCTGCCTCCACCTTGTAGCACCCAGGAGCGGTGAGATCCGACTTAGCTAACGAAATGGCGCACTTTTCCCGCAAAAGATGAAAGAGGTCAGGCAATTCTGACTCGGCCATCACTGATTTCATGGTATGTTCAATCCAGGCACCGCATGATAGGACGCCATAAAGAAGTGCAAGCCAGGCGGGACTAGCTGTCAAGGGAGACTGCCAGAATTTTCGATACTTTCCTTCTTAGATGGGGTTGCGAGAGCATTTGATATAGGGTCAGACTGTACCTGGCATTGAAATGTAGGAGGATGTATGAACACTTCGACCGAATGTCAGCTGCAGTAACCGATGGATTTCTTGTTAGAACGTACTCAACGATGGCTCATGAGATTCCAGACACAGGGAGACTAGTTTGTCTGCGAGTTGACGAGTTGGCAATGATGCCACCAAGTCTTTCATGTCTACATTGCGTGAGAGCCCCGACAACAATACCGGGGCATGTACCCTTGTTTCTATATGTTCCTCGCCTGACATATGCTGCTTATTCTGTCAAGATCGTCAATGTACTGCCAAGACGGGTGGAGAACGGAGGTTGGCGAACACCGACTGCATCTTTCATGATAGTCTGCCAGTGGCATGAGTTGACAACCCGTGTGCTGGTTCCTCTGCTGCTATCACTAGGCCATGGAGCAGAGGATTCATGCTTCCGTTGGATGAGTGCTTGTTCTGGGTGACTCAGGTGCCCGCCGATATCTGCCGGACATGCTTTCACATAGCAACAGAACTGCCCCGAATTGCGCTTCTGGCAGTTTAGACAAGGCAGAGCGCGGTTGCATCTTAGCCTGGATAAATCGACGAAGTTAGTTGTGGATCTCCGTTGATACATGTATACAGCCTTACTTTTTCTCTCTGCACAATGTGCATGATTGCAACACGCGAGGTTTCTGGTGCCGTCGCTTCCGATCACCGAATGGATAGCGTGAAACTGGAGGGTCCATGACGACGTAAACTGTGGATGTGGAAGTGTGAAAGTGAAGACTAAAAACGGAAAGTGTTGAAGATGATTCGGATTTCTGGTATGTAATTTTCGGATTTCTTGTAATTTTCAACCCCTGGTAAGACGGGTCCGCTCCATTGAGGAAATGATCTTCACTGCTTTCCATCCGTGTACAATTAATTGATAATGAGAAGAATGGCCCTATATGTGCATAATAATTATCCTACCATCGTACTACATTGTCAAATTCTATCCTATGCTGTCGATCAGTAGTTATTTAAATGGTAAAGGTCTCCCCCTCGTAGCGCTGCACACAACTCATCCGCCCCCTACCCTTGAAACAATCGTATCAGTTCTACTATGGCGAGCCTAAGCCAAAATTCCGCGTGGTGATTGTGGGCGGGTCCATCGCAGGCTTGACTCTGGCCCACTGTCTACTGAAGAACAACATTGACTTTGTGGTGCTTGAGGCTCATAATGAGATCGCACCTCAAGTCGGTGCCTCGATTGGGATTATACCCAACGGTGCTCGCATTCTGGATCAACTGGGCGTGTTTGATGACATTTTGGACACCACAGAGCCCATGCAGGAGTCATCCTACTGGACCCAGGAAGGAAATCTCATTGTCCGGAATGACACGCCGCAGCTGATACATAAGAGGCATGGCTATCCTATTGCATTCGTTGATCGTCAGGTCGTACTCAAGGTCCTCTATGATCATCTTGCGGACCAGCAAGATCGTATTCTTGTGGGCAAAAAGGTCATCAAAGTCGAGAATCTGCATGGAAGGGTCCAGGTTCACTGTGCAGATCATTCAGTCTTCGACGGGGATTTGGTAGTAGGAGCTGATGGGGTACGGAGTATTGTTAGGCAGCAAATGTGGGACTACATGGAGTCTAGGGGCCTCGAAAGAGAGGTACTGAGAGAAAGAATGGTATGTTGCGCATGTTTTGCAATTTTCTTGATACTGCTATGCGGAAGCCTGCTATCGACTGACTGACCTAACTCTCAACTTATCTGGCGTGCAGCGATGACGTCTGAATATAGCTGTGTGTTTGGCATCTCAACAGCCGTCGAAGGCCTGACCCCCGGGAGCGGACACCGAACCTTTGGCGAGGACTTTTCGTTCCTGACTCTCATCGGTAAAGAGGGTCGGGTGTACTGGTTCTTTTTCACCAAGATGGATCGAGTATACTCCGCGTCAGAAATCCCGCGGTTCCACCAGGGCCTGATTGACGAGCATGTTGCCCCCTACCTGCAGAAGCCAATCCGTGATACCGTCCCTTTCGCTGCAGTGTACGAGAGGGCTATAACCCGGACTTTCCTGCCTTTGGAAGAGGCTGAATATAACCATTGGGCCATCGATAGATGGGTTTGTGTTGGAGATTCTGCTCACAAGGTAATGCTTCCCTTACCCAGGCAAGCCCTTCGTTTGGCAAGGTTCCTGACGTCTTATGACAGATGACTCCAAATATGGGGCAGGGCGGAAACAGCGCCATTGAAAGTGCTGCCTCTCTCGCCAATAGTCTGGCTAGCTTGATTGAAGCCTCCGGCGATTCTAGAGTTTCAGTGAAAGATCTAAATGACTACCTGCAGCCGTGGCAGAAGAAACGCCAGGCTCGTCTGCAGGACATTTTCAAAAAAGCCCACGAGCTCACTCGACTCGAGGCATTGGCTACGTGGAAGGAAAAATGCATTGCACTCCATCTCTTCCCATACCTCACCAACTACCTAGCCGATGGAGCATCGCAGACTATCGTTGGTGCAACAAAGCTCGACTGTGTACCACTACCGCCGAGATCATTGCAGTGTACGATGCCATTCACCAACTTCCATCCGCCTCGTGGTGACGCGATCTGGAAACGAGCCCTGTGGACGGTGCCATTGATCGGGATTTACGCTGTTGGAAGAGCCACTGCACTCCCGGTAATCTTGAACACTCGACCTCACTTATATCCACTCTTTAAGGAAGGAATATGGACAGCGGGTAATGGAGAGGTCCTTAGTTTGACCAAGCCCCTATACCATAATCTCTTCCTGGACAAGTTGTTCCGGCCTCTCATTACCTGCTTTCTGCCCTCAATCACTGGGTCTGATACGAATTCGCGGGTTCAAATGCTTTCATTTATGACAGACCTGGGGGCAGTTTATGGAATCTGGCTATTGGAGAGCTATCGCGGTGCTCACTCCTGGATCAACGTCCTTCTGTAAGTATAAACCGCAAATCCGATCCATAGTTCCAGAGCTGACACATAGGAACCATGTATAAGCCCCTTGGCAGCGGGCACGGTATTCCAATTAAAGGGGATATGGATGGTTGCGCCATTCTATTATACCCTGGAGTATTTGATGGCGCCTCTATACAGTCTACTTTCTGGCAGCAACAGCAAGGAGATCGATGCTGTCACCACCGAGTCGCTGGCCCTGTCAATGTTGGCCGGATATTACTCCACCACATTTGCCAACTTCTTTGCACCGAGTCTTCAATCACGCCAATGGTATAATGCGATGTGGCAAGTCTTCCCAGCAACAATCCCCCTCCTTCAGCTTCCCTTCTCGCTTGCGAGACGCTGGCTCTCCCCCTCTTCGCCACCAAAAGACGAGATAGACAGAAAGCAACAGCAGAGAAAGAGAAGGCAAAACGTCCGCTACGCCTGTGGGACATTTGCTCTCGTCTCAGGTCTCACGTTTATCTATGGCCGATTCACAGCTCCACCAGGTGTCTCCTTCTGGAGTATTTTCGTCCCGGGTCTGCGGGATCATTTGGCCCCTGTTACGTCTTTCAGTGACGGGATCGCACGCTTTTTGCAGTACGATGAACTAATCTCCATGGGAAGTGCGTATGTATGGCTTGCACTGCGTTTCCGCGAGCTGAAACAAGCGGGGGCTCGGTTTTCTTGGACTCGAGCTGGGGCGGCTTTCGCTGCGTCTTTGTTGGCTTTGGGACCAGGAGCGACGTTTGCTCTGGGATGGGGGTGGCGCGAGGAGCTTCTGCACCAAGTGGCTAAGGAGCTCTAATTCCTCCCGAGAATTACCCTTAACGATCGCTGATCCCGTCCCCTAGAGAGAGGTGGTATGTTGTATATATTGGAAGTAGGGCCTCTCCTTCACTACCATCTACCATCGGAGGGGCGGTCGTATGTATTATATACTAAGTTTAGAACATTTGCTTAACTATAGACGAGAAATAGATCACTACAGTATATACCAGGTTCTCTTTTCTTAGATACTGCAGATGCTACATAATTCTATTGATATACTTCTCTACAAATCGAAATCTGTCGGGGCGCAGTTCAGATTGTATATCAGGAAGCTCTATAATCAACTTACCTAAGATCCAGGCTCTAGTATATATCAAATCGCATGATACCTTTCATGCTCATCCTATATGTCAGAAGATGGAGTTTCTGGGCGCGATCTCTCGATTTGGTTGATAGTATATAATATATACTGTAGAATCTCCCTAGAGGCTGGAAGGAAAAATCAAAACTATATATTGCTTAGGATACACTTGCCCTAAGGGTGCAGTTTAACTTAGATATAGTAAATATTTATGCGGAGCTTATGGTCATCTGAGATCGCGCAATCGCGCAATATTCCGGTATGTCTTCTGTTGGGGATAAATCTTGCCGCTATATGATGTTTCGTCTCTATATTTGCTATCTGAATTGGGTGGTCGACAACTGCAATGAGTTCTACCTTGTTGTAGCAGACGATTCGTGTTTCGATATCTCGGCAGCTCATGGTAGATCGCTAGCCGGCTTTTATGCGTGGAACCCAGCTGTTGGTACTTCATGTGGGGGGCTCTGGCCTGACTACTATGTTTGTGTCGGCATATTGTCAGATGCCACCACCACTACTACCATTTCTACCACTGCTACTACCACCGGCAATGGGGTTTCCACACCTACACCAACACAGGCGGGCATGGTGAGTGGGTGTGATAGTTTCTATCTTGTGATCTCGGGTGATGAATGCTGGGATATTGCTACGCAGGCCGGGATTACGCTGGATGAGTTTTATACTTGGAATCCGGATGTTGGGACTCTTTGTACTGGTCTTTGGCCGGATTACTATGTTTGTGTTGGTGTCCTTTGAGCGCAGTTCCGCAGAAGCAGGGTGAACTGCCATAGTCATATATGAGATGGTATATAGCTCAGGCTGGCTCGGAAATAGAACGGCTTGTAATGTCAAGATGGATTATTAATATATAAGTCAGCCTGATCGCAGTCTCGCGCTTCCTGCCCCCCCTAGATTGATACCTCTGCGTCTTTCAGCCACAATATCCCTTAGCCCACTCACAATTTCCAGATACGCAGCCCTAGGTACCGGCTGACAGACATGCCCCGGTACCGCCCAAGCAGGCTGCGGAAGGTCAATATCTGCCCCAGCATCAAGCAGCGCCCTCACCAGTTCCGGATGCCCCATCTCCATCGCGATCTGCACAGCTCGTCCACAAGAGAACATGGTAGGTATTCTCGAATCCCTTAAGGCAATCTCATTGAAACCAAGATCTTGCTCCGTCCCCCTCCACCCACCCAGAACGTGGTACGCAACGTTAGGATCGGCGCCATGCTCCAGCAGCAAGGTGACCAACGCAAGATCACCCAGCCTAGCTGCCCGGACAAGCGGCGGGGTGAAGTCCACCGGCTCGAATACTCGGTCCAGGTTCGAGTCATAGTCCCAATGGTATGGATCGGGGGGCAGAGGTCGGTCGGCTTCTTTGAAGTCGCAGGCCACCCCGTGTGAAAGCAGGATCGTCGCGAGAGAAATATCTTGCTGTTCCACTGCAAGTGCGAGCGCCCTCGTTCGCGAGACTCGGTGAGCTGTTCTTTGCAACAGAGCTTCTACCAGATTATGCAATTTTCGTCGCACGGCTCTTACGACGGCGGGGCCTTCTTGAGAGGGAACAGTAAAGTCGGCGTCGACGCCATGGTCAAGGAATAGATGCACGAGATCTGGCCTTTCCTGCTCAACGGCCCACTCCAGTAGTGTTATCCATCTGCTAGGGGAATGTTTGAAGTCGTTAATTCGGATGTTCAGATTCAGGTCGTAACTGATGAGCTGAGAGAAGACGTCGTGACTGTATCCAGTTTGCAAAGCTGCCGCGAGAGCTTCCTCCAGCTGGCGCTGGGTGGGATGTTCAGACATGACTGGCGGAGGTATTTCTCCTCGCTTCGCAGTGTCGCGTCTCGCTAGAACCCTCTGGCCAGAGGAACGATTTTGGAAGTATAACTCTCCAGTATCTGGCACCCATATCAACTCCCATTGCTCGTTTGAAGTGCCCGTGTTACCCTGACCTGAACTCGTGTCAGGGGCAGCCGGCCCTATATAACGCGGCAAGGGAAAATCCGAAGTGCCTAGTATCTCATATACTGCTCCATCGAACTCTCGCAACTCACCCTTTGGATATTGCTTTGCCTTGTCTGTGTGTGGCTTGCTCCAGAAGACGACGGCGTCATTGTGGGGTTTGAAGGGCGTTTCAAGTTTGCGCTGGATGCAATCACCCCAATCCAACCCGTGGAAGAAAGGATGCGCTTTCACCTCCGCGAGGCCGTCAGCTCCTAGGCGACGCGTGAGGTCTTTATCGAGTAATTTGGTAAGAATATCGTTTGTACTCGATGGCAAGCCAACGGGCTGCTGGAGGGTAACGTTGATGATCCTATACCGCCGCTCCTCTTCATCTTTGTGGTAGAAAGGCGGAGCACCCGTCAAGAGCTCATAGAGGATAATCCCCAGGCTCCACCAATCACTAGCTCGAGATGGTTCTCTCTTGTTAAGGAGAATTTCGGGAGCTTGATATGCCGACGTGCCTGGCGCAATACAGTCCGTGTCCTTACTCAGGTCAAGCGCGAAGAGACTCGGTTTGCAGAGACTGACGTGGCCAGAGGAATCGAGGAGGATATTCTCCATCTTTAGACTACCAAGGATGATGTTCTTTGCATGCAAGTATTCCAGTATGCAGATCAGCTCTGCAGCATAATATCTTGCCTTGGTAATGCCAAATCGTCGCTCTCTCTGCACATGGTCAGCAAGGTATCCTCCGCTGCCGAGCTGTGAAAGGAGTTCCAATCTACCATCCGAACAGTGAAAGGCAAACATCAGCGGAGCAATGAAGGGGTGCTGAATGCCAGCGCGGAGGCTGTTTATCACTGGTTCATTTTCACCGCTGAGCTGCTCATGGGCAGAGCGAGGTATATGGGTGATCTCCATGCCGTAGCTTCTGCCCGAGTCTTGCTTTTGGACATAGACAAGGTTGCCGTCACTGCAGCTATTGTTTCTTTCGGGAACTCTCCAATCTTTGCTAGTGAGTACAGGCGAAATTTCTTTCCTGGTGTAGGATATTTCCAGCCGCCCGTGCCATCCAGGGCTTTCACCTTCTGTGTCCCAGCACCGGCCAGGAACGGATTCAGTCTGACCAACCCAAGTGACATGCATTGAGGCCCAAAGGGTTCACCCGACAAGGATAGAGTGCTCCCTGTATCCGGTTTGTGACGACGAATCAGCAACGACAAGGTAAGCACCCCCTCCTGCTCCTCAGTTCCGGACGACGATGACAGCGACGGCGGGAGATCAAATTTGAAAGGGCGATACCACGCTTCCCAGTCGACGAGGCCCTGCGCGGGGAGGCTCAATAGGGCTTCAGAGGAGAGCTAGAAGCCTTGGTACTCTGCGATAACGTATGGGCGCCATTGCTTCTTCCAGGTGTCGCCAGCTACATCTGGTAGCTTCAATCCACGCAACCAGGCGAGCTTGACGGTCAGGACTCCCGTCATAACGCGATCCGTCATATTTTCGGTCACAGTTGATGAAAGATGGTGGAGGGGAAAGGGTGGGGTATCAGTGTCATAAGTACCCCTGATCATATACGATGCCCAGCCCCTTGTGGAGATGAGTAGCTCCCACAACTTACAACTGAGGTATCCTAAGTTAATAGTAAAGAAATAAATATCTAACCTATATATTATATTACAACCTGCCAAAACTAGACTGGTACAGAAATTAGTGATACTTAATCAATTATAAAGAGATACTGTAGTAATAATTTCTTAATATAGATATTTTAATCTAAATAAGTGGCCATTCTACTAGGATTGGTGAGGCCGTAATATTCTAGTACTGACTTTGGATCCGTCGTGAACATCGGACTGGCGTATACAATCGCCTTGACTAATGGGTGTGGCTCATGCGACAGATTGTTTATGAATTCTGTCTCTAGGTCTAGATCCAGCAGTAGTAGCCTTGCCATAGCTTGGAACATGGGGATTCCTGTGATGTAGCGTCGAGAGTCCTGGGCCTTACCAGCGTGTTCCCGCCAAAATGACTTGAATTTACCTTGATCGCCATGGAACTTATGGCATTTCGATACATTGTCCCACTGAGCTCCGTAGGCATTCAGTGTACATCCGCTGATAGAATGAGGTCGTGCTTGAGGAGCAAAGCCTGTGGCATCCTCCATAAGCCGCGACATCGTGGTTGAATATCATAACGCGCTTTGGATCTTAGGAGAATGCATCCCAATTAGGTGCCCATGATGGTAAGAGTAAATGGTGTTTTGCTATGGCTTCTTTGGACTCAGATAAGGCGCCATGACCGGCGTACCAAGGAAGGTCCAACCGGCCCGTTTCAAGAACGACCTGTGAGAGTGACCGAAGCAATTGGGGTCGAAGAAACTGTATATGCATGAATCTATATGTGGATTCGGGGCCACGACTTGGCAGCTCGCGGCAGGGTTGGTCTTTTTGGCGATGTGGTAAACCGGTCCCTGAAAAGTTTTCTTACACCAGCCTTACTTTTAAAACTTATTCATTACCAGCTTAGGGTTTAGTGTTTCTCAGGCAGCAAGTAGAATTCAGGATTGGTTTAATACTATCTACTCTGATTATGCATTCTTATCGAAGGTCCTATAGTGGATTCTTCAGTTTTTAGACTTTTTATATGACACAACGGCCTTGTGTATGGTTTTTTATATTGTATCGCATGGGCGGTTATATAGTGTGACTTGGGAGGCGTGAAGCGCGATTAACATCCGGATCCTTTGTCAGTCCGAGTATTTCTCAAGTCCAATAGTTCAATTAAAGTAAATACAGATTCAAAGGCTAATGGCTAGAAATGTAAAGAAATCAGAGGGAGTAATAACAAGAGTAATAACAAGAATTGTTACTCTCCCAAACTATGCTGGTTTACCTGCCTGGGTTTGAGCACCCTCACATCCAGGGCAGGAGCCATATGTAGGACCAGTATCGACTGCGTGATGTTTGATAGGTTCAAAGAGGTCTGAAATCGAACTACCGAGTCCATGAATAAATCCCGAAAACCCTACGTAGCCATCAAAATAGTTATGGTACACGCATTTCTGGTCAGTGCATGTAAATCCAAGAACTTGATATTGAGCTCCGTTTGGTTTTCTCTCAATTCCCCCACAATCATCATTGGTTTTGCAAGACTTGCCGTTGATATAGTCAGTATTTTCGCACTCGCCATTGAAGCAATAGTTCAAGTACCCATGGCAATCTTTTGTCTTGTTGCAACGTTGTCCGACTCCTGATTCTACCTCAACATTGCAGATCTTGAGAGCTCCCTTATGTGCACTGCGACAGATCAGACCCGGCTCTTTACAGTCGTCATCCGTTTCACAAGGATCGCCTTTGTGCCCAGCTTCGTTAACCCCGCAAAATCCATAGGGGCATCGATCAGAGAGACACCGGTCAAACAAATCATAATCCTTTCCATCCTTGGTGAGCCGACAAGACTCCCCTGCACTCTTCTTAGCGAGGCAGACCTCTCCACCCGAATGATCGCAATAGGCAAATCGAGTGCTACATTGCGACTGGCCTTGAGCATTCGTGCACGTTGCATTTGTCACCACATTGTACTTGTCAAGACCGAAAAGTTTGTTTGTCGCGCGCTGGGCTTCTGAAAGCGTGTCTTCCGGTACGGCATCGAGTTTGGAAAGATAGTCAACGAAGGCGTTGGTGCCCATAAAGCGACATGTGTTCTCTTCACAGATGGTACCTAGGTCGCAAATGATATGTTGGTCGACATCACAAGACTCTCCCAGAGGCTTGTAAATTAAAGCGGGTTTGGCGCGTTTCGAATTGCGACGACGGTTCGAAGTACGTTCTTCGTTAGAGGAGCCATGAGAGTTACTGTCCCTTTGAGCACATATTGCACTATCTCCATCACATTTTCCTGATAAGCATAGTCTGTCGACTTTGGCACACGCACTTCCATCGGGCAACTTGGGAAAGCATCTACCATCAAGATAGAATTCGTTGTCATTGCAGCCGGATTGCCTTGCCACAATGTCATGACTATATTGACCGGAGGTAATGGCAAAAACAGGAATTATCAGAGGTTGAAGAGCGAAAAGCAGAGCTGGGGCTGTAGAGGCACACCATGATGAAGATGGAGATTGCGCATACAAGGGTGAGAGGATGGGTGAATAAATCGATGGAGGATAAAGGAAGACTTGAGGTGAGAGGTGAGCGCTTAAATACACCTTTATCGGAGGAGATCTGTATGAATATCAAGTATAACTCAAAACGTATCTCCCCCTGAAGATATGCAAAGAAGTTTTGAGGAGACAATATGATAGAGCCGAATGACTTCGCACACGAACTTCATGCAAGGGAATCACATATAGAATGGTTGATCCGTGGTCTTCTTGGTAAGAAATATCATTAATAGCGACGATCATCATCAATGCTATGAGCTCAGACCATAAGCATGGTCCCTGTTAACTTTCGTTGTCGTGCATTGTTTATCAACACTGAGTTTCTGGGTATCTTTCACCCCATCAACAATGTTTTATCTCAGTTTTTGGCTCAACACTCACATAGAAGTTCGCCATAAGGAATAACCTATTGGAAGCAACTGATCTGTCCTTACGTTCAAGTTGCTTATAATAACAGAGCGCTTCGCGCTCAGCTATCACAGGTTTTTACAGGGTACAGTATATCTATGAAGCAATATTCAGATCAGGAAGATCTGCGAACTAGTGACGCTGTGTCGCTAGAGAGAAGTGCGAACTGTCGATCAATTCCCTACCTGGAGGTCACTTTCCCTCCTGAGGAGAGATTGACTTAAAGACGTAGCCGATATGAAGTATTATCTGTCAAAAGGCTTGGACAAGCGAAGATTCAATGCACGAAAAAGGGGTCTGGATTGAATATATGAGGAAAGTGGGACGCCGGAACGGTCCGCATTATTTGGATGGATCGACGACTATTGACTATTCACACAGAACACTCAGTTCTTCAAAAAGGACATTCTATTCCACACTTATTGTGTGTCTGCAGAAAGTAAGTTGGTTCTTTGAACTCCCAGATGTAAGGGCAATCGGTTTTCTATTACTAGAAAGTATTCTCAAGAATATTGGCAGGGCAAAGAAGTAATTCTCAAGTACGCATTCTGTCAACCGTGCAAACATATCAAATCGAATAAGCAGGTCATGTACTAAATCAGTGCGTTGTGGGTGAACGGTCATCGGTGGGGTAGTCTTGGTCTCAGCGGGGACAATATAGAGGCCCATTTATTTTACATATAGTAGCTCAGGGTCACAGTAGTCGTCAATATACACCAGTGGATTTCAATCTCCATACTCCTCCTTTCGAGAGGGACCAGACATGGTTCGACAAGGCAAATTTATTATGTAGCTGACGTTTGGCTTTCTGTTGAGTTATGCCCTGCGGTATATCTTCAATAACTAGCGTGATTGCACATAGACAGTTAATCTATACATTCTAATATCATGATCAATAATGGGCCCCTCTAGCAGACTAGCAGTATCTCCAAAAAATATTTAAACCACTTGATTCTCAAGGACACCAAAAATACCTCAACCCAAAGTATAATCTCGCGCACGGTTTAACGTACTAGTAGCAAGTTTCTATGACATATTCTCTTGAAACGTCAAGGTACGAAGATTGGCTCGCCACTGAATTTAGAAACACCATTGGCGTCATATGTATCAATATAAATCACTACTAGTAATGTCTGAGACATTGAGAGTGTCAAGGCAGGCTTTTTAGAGATTAATACCCCAGCCTTCACGCAACATGGTCGATCCAATAAATTAAACCCTTCTAGAAGTTGATCTTTACGTCAGATAACTTAATTCGATTTCTTCTTACGTGAAGAAAGCTAGAAGCACATGGTATACGAGGGATCCCTCGACGGCGTCTAGAAGGCGGATCACTTGACCATCGAGTCCGGACAGCCCTAAAGCTGCGGCTCCATAAATTATTCACATTATTCACGCCTCCGAACCATATGACTAAATGGAGGATGATCAGCCTGGTGGATTATTCAGGTACCGCGATCTAGATCCTCGTCTCGAGGGATTTCATGGTTGTACCGAATATCTTCATTATATAGTTACATAACAATAACCCTCACAGTATGCATAGTAAAAACAAGTCTATAGCGCGACATAATTGAAATTCGACCTGGAAAAATGTCACAAACACCATCAGCATCACTGATAATGATGGTTCCACGGGCAAGACCCATAATCCCCAGCAATATCAGATCATACTATATCGTACCATACCGGTGAACCACGGGCATATTCCCCACAAGATACACACACATAGCATTACACATATAGCAAAAATAACCCTGGACCACACGACAAACGCCAAGACCTTCGATAGGCAGCTGTATGCGGGAAAAGGGAAAGAGATGACGATAATTACCCGGTCGGTATGCAACCGGATTTAATCCGAGTCATTTTTTGTGAATTTGCGTTATTTTTGTGGTCGGGTTTCATTTAACCGGGGGGACGAAAAGTCACGGGGACGCTGGCGCCGGATGAGGGCTTTAGACCATTGAACCTGGAAGGGGCAAAGCCTTTTTGTTTTAGGGCCGAGGTGGTTGGTCGAGGACAAATTACGGGGTAAGGGCCGGATCCCACGATGTATGTAATTGTAGTATATGTCTCAATCGCCGATTGATGGCCAATTTTTTCACATTTGGAAAATTGGAGAAATTACAATCCTAATTGTATCAGTTCGCTAGTACATTTTTCTAGAAAACACAATGCCTATTGTGCGGAGGAGTGGGGGAATTAATTATCTGGATCGAGTAAATAAGTCCATTGCTGAATGCAGGAGCTGTCAGCGATGACATTTTTTCCCCGCATTTGATTCGATCGCTGCTGGGTATTGCATTTACAGACCGGTCAGTCAGGTAAATTTATCCCGTTCAAGTCCACGGCGATTCATTTCCCAGGGGTCAATCCTTTTCCTCAAGAAGTCAGAGAGGAATTGCGATTGCTTTGTATAGGAAATAGAAAAGAACTCGTGATCGGAATGCCGACATGTGAATGTCGTCATGGTCGGCACCTTCGACTCCGAATTGTCCCTCGGCTGTCAACAGAAAAGTCATTTGCTCAGTCTTGTGGCCAGTTCGGTGGATTCCATATATAAATTAAAGGAGATCGAACATCGTACGGTTCTCGGAAAGGTGACCTGTTCTTCTCTCTCTCTCTATCTCTCTCTCTTTTGGATTTCGGTGTATCATTACTACGACGACCATTTGGTTGTGAGCTGATAGATCCTGCATTGGGAAATACTATACGTTTTTGTACTATACGCAATTACTTTCCCTATACGAGATTTATTACCAGATTACTATTATTATATGAGTTATATTTCCCCTCATTATTAGGTAACGGTTCTCTCCAATACCCCAACTTTTTTTATTATATTATTATTTCCTTAATTTGCCTCTGACGAATTCCTTTGGTGCCGTCGGGATTCCAGTCTCACCAAGAATTGATTTGCCCCGGTGAACGCAAGCAGCAAACCGTGACCTCAGGTGGTGTGACCAGCTTTTTGATTCGTTTTTGTTTTTGCGCCTTTTAAACCCCGTCATTCATCATGTCGCCTCCGTCCACCTCAGCTTCTTCTTCCACCACCGCTCGCAATCGTCTCGCGTCGCTCTCCGCTCAAATCATGGGTTCTGCCAGCCCGTCCGTATTTTCCACCTCAGTGGTCCCTGCCGCCCCCGAGGATCCGCTCTTTGGTCTGGCGCAGGCCTTCCGTAATGACCCCTCTGATAAGAAAGTCGACCTGGTTATCGGTGCCTATCGTGATGACAATGCAAAGCCTTGGATCCTCCCCGTCGTGAGAAAGGTATGTGGTGGAACCGCGCAGGGAGATGACGAACAACCAATTGAACTAAACTTGTCAGGCCGGTGATCTGATTCGCAACGATCCCTCCGTCAACTATGAATACCTCCCCATCAAGGGTCTCCCTGAATTCACCTCGGCCGCCCAGAAGGTGATCCTGGGTGCCGACAGCCCTGCGATCCGCGAACAAAGAGTACGCTGCGCGCAGTCCAGCTTTTGTCCCACCGCTCTCTAACAGATCAATTAGGTAGCCACTTTCCAAACCATCTCCGGCACAGGAGCCGTCCATCTCGGTGCCCTCTTCCTCGCCAAATTCCACCCCGCGAACCCCAAGCCCACCATCTACCTCTCCAACCCAACCTGGGCCAACCACAACCAGATCTTCACCAATGTCGGTCTCTCCCTCGCCACCTACCCCTACTTCGATGCGAAGACGAAAGGCCTCAACTTCGATGGCATGCTGAACGGCATCCGCGAGGCCCCCGCTGGCTCCGTCATCCTCCTCCACGCCTGCGCCCACAACCCGACCGGTGTCGACCTCACCCAAGACCAATGGAAGCAGCTCGCCGTCGTCATGCGCGAGCGCCGGCACTTCCCCTTCTTTGATACCGCATACCAAGGCTTCGCCTCGGGCGACCTGAACCGCGACGCCTGGGCGGTGCGATACTTCATCGAGCAGGGCTTCGAGCTGTGTGTCGCGCAGTCCTTCGCGAAGAACTTCGGTTTGTACGGTCAGCGCGCGGGCGCGTTTCACTTCGTCTCGGCGCCCGGCGCCACCGCCAAGAACGATATCGCCAATGTTGCCAGTCAACTAGCTATCCTGCAGCGGTCGGAGATTTCGAATCCCCCGGCATACGGTGCGCAAATCGCCAGCCGCATTCTGAACGACGCCACCTTGTTCGCCGAGTGGGAGGAAGACCTTCGGACCATGAGTGGGCGCATTGCGGAGATGCGGAAGGGCCTGCGTGAGCGTCTAGAGGCGAAGGGCACGCCGGGCACATGGAACCATGTAACAGATCAGATTGGCATGTTCAGTTTCACAGGCTTGACCGAAGCACAGGTCAAGTTGTTGCGGGAGAAGTGGCACATCTATATGGTAAGTTCACCGCTACTCATGCCCGGTGCCCCCGATGATTGGGCCGGGTATCCGGTCGGCATTTCTGTCGGGTCTCGGAGTCAGGCCACCTGGAACGATCCAGCTAACCGTCATTGCAGACCAAGAACGGCCGAATCTCGATGGCCGGTCTCAACACAAATAACATCGACTACTTCGCAGAGGCAGTCGACAGTGTCGTCCGGGAGACATCGTAAAATTTCTTTTCTTGTACCTTATTTCATTGATGTCATGTCCACTTTGTTCGTCATTCAGATAGCGGTTATATATCCCCTAAATATAGATCAGGTATCTGCGTCAGTCGTGGGAGCTCGTGAGAATTAATCGTGTAGTATAAGTACAGTATGGAAAATACACCCCATCACAACATTGTATAAGGATCTAGAAGATAAGATCCCAGACAATCAACGAAGTACACAACCCAACCGTGCCCCAGAACACCGCCTGCGCCGCACTCCGCCGCTCACTCGCCCTCTTGAGCTCCTTGTTCCCACGCCCGATATTCGTCTCCGTCGACGCCGCATCGGTGACGAGTTGGCCAATATACTCCTCCTGCGTAGAAAGATGCGACACCAGCGTCTGCTGCAGCGATGAGATCTCCAAAAGCGACTTCTCCGCATTTCTACCTCACGTTAGTCCAACCCCCTCGAACACCTAAACAACACAAGACCAGAGGGATGGGCAAACATACTGGACCTTACTCAAGGTATCCTCATAATACCTGACCATGGCATCATTCTCCGCCTCAAAAAGCTGCAGCTGCTCCGCCGACAACTCCTCCTCAATGGCCCTCGCCTCGGTCTCATCTATCGCAACCCCCTTCAAACCCACCGTATCATCCACCCCAAGCCCCGAACCCCCAGCAACAGTAGCAGAAGTGCGAGCATTCGAAGCCCCAGTCTCAACTTTGAAAAGCACACTCCTCTCCCTTTCACTAACCCTCTCGATCCTCCTCTCCACCAACCCCCTCTGCAAAGAAACCACATCCTCCAAACCCCTCCTCAAAAACCAAACCACACTCTCCCTCACTACTTGCATCACCCTCACCCCCTCTTCCTCCTTAACCTGCTCCTCGCTTTTACCCTCCTCACTCTCACCATCAAGCGCCCCAGACCCCGCAGCCCATTTCGCAAGCACCCGCCCCGCAACCGACCGTCCGTATTTCTTCCTCAGGATACTCGTCGCCGTCTCATGCCGGAGGGCCTCGGCGCTGGATAGGGTCGAGATCGAGTTACTTAGATCGTGAAGGACGAGGGAGGTCGAAGTGTCGATTTGGTCGCGGTCGGAGTCGCTGAGCGGGGACCTGTGTCTTGTTCTCCTGATTTTGTCTTTCCAGTCGGAGACGAGGGCTTGTGGCGGGGGTGTTTTGTTAGAGAAAGGTACTGGGGGCGGATCTTTTGGAGGTAGGTTGATAAGTTGGTTATGTGTTTGTTCTGTTGCGTGATTCGCTTGTTAGTTTGGGTTTGCGTTATGTTGCTGGTGAGATTTGAATTGGAATTGGGAATTGAGGATTGGATAGATTCGATCTGAGGTGGTGTAGCATACAATCCGGTAAGCTTCCTTAAGGAACTCATCAGCCGGCGAGGCTTTGTTGTACGTTTTTATTGGGATGGCCGGTGATTGGCGTTCGAGAAGAATGGCGTTGAGCGTTGGCGTTAGGTCGGTCATTGTCCCCTTTTCTCTTTTTCCTTTTCCTCTGCCTCTTTTTCGTAGGGGGTGTTTTGGAGGTTGGTGGAGTCGGGTGTTGTTTTGATGAATGATTATGTATGCTGATAGCTGGCACGTTCTTATCTGGTCCCGTGATTTCGGCCATACATAAATTTAGTGCAATTCGTGAAGCCATTTATAGTAACCTCATCCTCCGGAGTACAGTAGTACTAGTAATTAGGCGAAGAACAAGGCTTTATTACTCTTCAACTATTTAGACTCATAAAACGAGAACGCCAGTTGATGTACTATATGTCGGTCTTTTCGTTCTTCTGTTTCGTTTGATTTTTTCCTCGCTTTCTTCCCCTTCGGGAGAATTAAGGCCGTGTCTGCCCTAAGCTCCTTACTGAAGGGATGTGTAATATAACATGGCACAACTATCAATTGAACATTGCTAGAATCAAAATATGCCTTCTCTAGCTCCGATGAACCCATCATATTCATAGTTCTAGCTATCTTTCCAGCTCATGGGAGCAATAAGGATCATATCGAACTCCCCATCACCACACAGTGACAAGACTACCCAACATCGCTCACTGATAATTCACAGAAGCCCCTCCACCAACCAACTGCTCCCCAGTCACATATGCAGAAAGGTCACTAGCAAAGAATACCACCGATCTAGCAATATCATCCGCACACCCCAGCCTCCCCAACGGAACTCTCCGAGTCATCCACTTCTTCTTACCATTAGCAGCCAGATCACGTTCATTCATCGCCGTCTGAATAGTCACCGGCAAGACGCAGTTGTATCTGATACCATGCTTCCCAAACTCCACCGCATAGAACTTGGACATCGCGACCAGCGCTGCTTTAGTGGGACCGTAATGAGACAAGTTCGACGAGCCGAACCTGGCAGTGGTTGACGAGATCGAAACCACGCTGCCCCCTCGGCCTTGGCGGATCATCTGCTGTGTAGCTGCCTGCGTGAGTAGATACGCTGCCATAAAATTGATGTTCATGTGCTTCGCCAGCGACTGCTTCGTCACCGAACCGGCCGGCGTAAATTGGCAGATCCCTGCGTTGTTGACCAGCACGTCGGCCCGCCCGAATGCTGAGACGGTTTGGTTGATCAGGTCACTGCCTGCGCTGCCGGAGGTGAGGTCCCTTCCGATGACCAGGTGGGAGGTCTGTTGGCCATCTAGTATCACGGGCCCGGATTGCGTGAGCTCGTTGTGTAGGCACTCGGCGTCTGCGAGGCTTTGGGTGTCGCCGCGATGGTGCAGCACCACTGTGGCCCCTTCATGCGCGCACCGCGCTGCGATTACTCGTCCAATGCCTGAGGAGCTGCCTGTTACGGCGATGACTTTGTTGCGGGGTAGGTTGGCAATTAGGACCAAGTTCCGGAGGAGAGAGGAAAGTGAGTAACAGTAAAGGGACGTTATATTCATGAGACCGAAGCCAATGCCCCAAAAACAAAATAATCAAGCCAATTCCGGTTATGATTGAAAAGCTTCATACCCCCTAACTCTCCGAGTAGACCATATACCCGTTCAAATAGCTTTTGTCAGTAAGCTCGCACGGCCGGCTATATACTAGGTACCCCAAGCAGTCGGCACAGTAAATACAAACCATGATACTCTCGAGTATATTAACTCGATAAAGTAATACAATCTGCTTGAATTAGAACCTCAGAAGTAATCCCGAATCTGCTGTCTCTGTTACGTTCCTCCAACGCACTCCCAATGTACGAAACGTCTGACCGCAACATATCTTCTGCAGAATCCTTCGTTTAGAGCTCTTGTGGAAGAGTCCATGTTGTTTTTACATGTAATGCAGGGTATAGTATTCGTGGATTACAGGATATAGATAGTAATCTTAGAGATATAAGGAGTGGACGACAGGCAAAAGATAGGTTCAACCAGGGTTCTGTAGAACCATGGATAGTACATGTGAAGATGTCCGAAGTATACATGGCACTATTCGAGGCCATACACCCTCTTGTCTATTTCGCACCATTCATTGCACCGATTCCATTCCCCTATGTCATAGTACAGACATTGTAGCTCCAAGCGTGTGGGTATTGACAAGGGTTCCTTACTGAGAGTACTAGTAGCATGCAGACGGCCAAATTGGGAGCTCCAACGCCTAGTTCTGAACTTAATATGATTCGTAACACACCAACAGAGTGGTTCTATGTCTGAACATCGGAATGTATGTACTGATGCCAGCGACCCCGCATAGAGTACTTCCTTGCGTTTTTCGATGTTGGAGATGTCAGTAGTTGACAAGAATCTACAGTTTCAACCCACACGGTACGTTCACCTTAACCCACCGTCTACCCGTTAAAGAAGGCAGGGGAAGGATTTGGAGCCTAGCCTAACTAATATAAACATATTCAGAGAGCTTGATACCCATTAATCACGCTGTAGCGAAACATTACTGACTCCCATCTCAGGGAAAAACTGCTTGAATACAGCCAAAAGACACACCTATGCAATTTACTCCACCCAGCCCAAGCCGACAATACAAGAATCAACGTAGTTTGTTTCAAGAGGCCCCATAAATATCGTTCACTCCTTCTGCCACAAACATATCATGCGTAGTGTTCACGGAGGCGGTACATCCGTCTATCGATTTCTCATGTCATGGTTTCTCACTTCCTTCACCAATGCAGCCGCGCCAATCGCATCGGCAACAAGGTGCGCAACTTGGTGCTTTTTATCCCCGAGAAGCTGCTTTCCCAAACTATATGCACCGATCAACTCCTCGGCCAAGCGACGCTTGTGGCCCGACTCGTGAGACGACACGCTAGATGATCGAGAAGAGGATGAGGAACCCTTATGTCTCACCAGACGCCTTTCGGCTACCTCGGTAGAGGTATCGACATCCTCCTTGTGAGAACTCCTATGCTCATGCTTTGATGAGTGGCCGGCATATTTCTCTTTGAAGAGTTCGCGGTACGATGGGAGGCCTGTTCCGTCTTTATTGAGCATCTCCAGAGCGCCGACCGCAACGGCGGCCCCTACTGCAGCCTTCAGTAGATGTGACGTGGTATCATCATCATCATCCTTGTCGAAAGACTTGACTAGCTGATCTGCTGCGTAAACGGTCCCGCCAGCAGCAACGGCTGTGGTGGCGTGAGATTTGAAGGTATGGAGGTCGGAGGTATCACTCATTTTCTTTTTGACGCATTTGCTTTTGTTTCGATCAAGTCAATTGTATGCTTTTCTCCTAACAGAAATGCAGTCCAAATAGTAATCAAGGGAGAGGGAAGCAGGTATTGACATTAAATATATATACGATCATTCAGTGACGTTACAATGCTTGTCATACTGTTCGATATTCTTGATCAGGGCTGTTGCATGTGCCACAGAAAAAGCCATAAAGCTCACCTGCAGCCAGTAATGTTTTGTCCCGCAGAGATTCTTCTAATCTCTACCATGTGTGACGACCACATGCTAGAGTAGCCGAGAGTTGCATTGCGGACAACAGTGCCGAAATGAAGACAAGAACAGTGTGGTCTGTGTAAGCTTAAACCTGTTGTACGGCTACCGCACCATCACTCTCGACCTCTTATATACCTACCAACCGATATTATTTCTCTTTAAAATCGCCTTCTACTGTTCATTTCCCTGAAGAAAAAGGCTTGCCATACCCTCCAGTCGACCAAGTGAGCATCCACTTAAACAGCAATAAAAGTTTGTTTTTTGAATCTCCATGTCTCTGATCTTATATGGTTACACGATGAATCGTATGATATTTTCAGTTGCTAACTTGAACATTCTCCTGATATCTCAGAATATCTGTAACCCCACACTACATTGTAGAGCACCTTTCTCCGCCACTCGAGAGAGTGCTCAATATTTTGGTTTCCCCCATGATAGCACTGTGGCTGCTCTTAGTGAAACTCACCTCAATTTTACTTTTTTTACCTACTCTCGCCTGTGGCCCTCCGACACCAATTGGAGCTTAAGGGATTCCGCAGAGCAGGGTACCACCCATTGAAGTTTAAAGTTAGGCCATTTCGATATCTAGTCATCAGAAATATGAGATATGTGCAAAAGTTTATACAAACATGCCATACTGTGAGCCACAAGTGTGCGGTCTACTGGACAGGGGCATCCTGTACAATATATCTATTGGTTAAAGTAAGTATGATGATCTTACGTCTCCTGCAAATATTCAGCAGTTTGTTCATCGTCGGAGTTATTTCCACATTTGATCAGTGACATCCAAGATATTGCAATACAGTAGCTATGAACATTATGGTTTGAGGAAACACACGTGACTTTATATTTTGCCCTAACTACTTCGTATGGTGGAATAAATTGAGCCTCCAAGTAATACTTCCCTACTCAGTGGCGACCGCATTGCCCGTGTCGTTCTCTCCCAAGGCAAAGTCAAGTCGGGATCTTTCGATATCCACAATCCCAATACGAAAGACCCCAGCGGCTTTAGCCAGGTTTGCACAGAGGAGCCCAATGGCCCCAGCACCAGTGAACTTCATCTGTGGACATATATTGTAGCGACCGGCCATACAGATGCTGCTCTTTTTGCAAGGCTACTGGGGCTCGATGACTACTCGATCACCGCGTTGAAGCTGCTGTACGTTGCTCCCAATGGCAACCACCTCGCCGGCGGTCTCGTGGCCGAGGATCAATGGTTGTTGGACAACAATTATGCTGTTCTTGCCGCTATGATAGTAGTGCATATTGGTTCGGCAGAGGCCTGTTGCTCGGATGCGGATCCGGACTTTGTCTGGAGCTAGGGGCGCGGTTGTGCGCGTCTCCATGCGCATGTCATGGGCGCCATACAGGACGGCGGCGGCGGTGTGGGTATATGTTGTCATTTTTGCTCTGACTGTCATGATGATTGGGATAACCAGGATAGCCTAGAAATGGCAATGCTAAATACACAACATCAGACACCTACAAGATTGGTAGTGTTGTTATATTTATGACTACATATCCTCTTGTTGCAGCAGATATCATTTTGGAGAACCGTGTTCGGTTGTATACCCTCTCCTATCACTCCCATGTCCGGCAAAATGGACAAAAGATCTATGTAGATTATCTACTATCTCGGTTGTATGGGCCACAACCGGGCAATACTCTTGATGAGGGATGGCTAAATGTATATGCCATGGACCTGTGATGTAGGTCACCACCCCGGCTATATGAGCTTCTTTCTCAGAAGTGAATTTACTACTCATGCATTGCCATGATATGGCTGGAATGTAGTTTCGGTCAACAGGAAACTTGGCATTGATTCATCCGGGCAACTACTGTACACTATCTATAAGCTTAGCACACTATATTTTCCCTGAAACGGAACTGCCGCAACAGCTGAAGTGTACACTATAAGGTAAACAAATCGCCCTCCAGAATTTATTCCTATTGGAGAAGCGGGTTCCATCCGAGAACACCTGGAATGCCTTCACGCATGATGAAGTCCCCGTATTCCCTGGCTTCCTCTCCCAGACGTTTCCATGGCCTATTTTCTCCTCGACCTAGTTTCATTTAGTCCAATCCTAATCATAAAAAGGAATTCCAACCTGCTTCTTCAAATGTGAGCTTCGGCAGAACCTGATACAGATGATAATGGCGAGACCAGATCGAGATGTAACCTTTTTGGTTCGGTACGGAGACCAATTCTGGCCAGCCAACAGCCCGCATCCTTTCCATCCCCATAGAACCAGCAGAGGCCGCCTTGGTGCCGACCACCGACTTAAATAATACTCTACTTCCCTATGCCCCGGTCCCCATAGCCTTCGTACCACTTCATGTTGGGATAAATCGGAGAAGGTTCGGGGAGATATGTGGTATGAGTGATTTGGTTGTTTGCAATCAGCTGCAAATTCGTATGGAAATGAACCTAGTGTATGAGACAGTAAGTTAGAGACTGGGCGAAGGATATCGTGTGAATATAGAGACGATTTGCAAAGGCGAATCCAAACCAACCCGCCCACAGATCGACAGAGAACTCCATTCTTTTCAGCTCGCCACGACACTTCCGGTGTGCAGTGGACCATCTTATTGGTTCATATTCTTATAATCTCCCGAGGACTCCATTTTGTTCAGCTCATCAATGATCACCACACTTCCGGTGTGCTGTGGGCCATATTATTGGTCTATATACTCGAGAGTATATGTGGGTCGCTGGTTCAGATAATCCACCGAAAACTCCCTCTCAGATAAACTTTGAGATTCAATGACCATCATCCTCGCATCAATCTGGGCGAGGTTCTGCGGCTATCTCTTCTTAGACCATCCTCTGCGATGCAGGGCATCGTGGATCGTGGACCTTGGACCTTGGCACGGATGGTTCGAATTCCTCAAGATAGAAAGGCTCCCTCACGTAGAGGGACAAATCTGGTATTTCGAGCAGATGGACGGATAGAGTTTCCAGCATAGCGAGTGCGCAAATCTAGCGTGGACACGTATGTTGGGGTTATAAATCACCCCACGCAATCATACAAAACTGTTCTCCCGGTGGCTCAGCCGAACTGGACAGGATGTCCCGAGTATATAGGCAGGGTAATTCCGCTGACTCGCCAGGTCTTCTCTTCTGAGATATCTCCGTCACTTCTGGTCCCTCTCCATTTCATTATACACAAAATCCAAAAATCACGTTCTTTCAATCGAACGTCACACCTTCACCATGCCTACCAACCTCGAAAAGTAAATATCATAGTCCATCTATCAAAGTGCATAGCTAATATTCGTCACAGCTCCAACGCCTTTCAAGAAGCCTTGAAATCGCAAAACTTAGTTGTCATCAACTGCCATGCCGTGTGGGACGGCCCCTCTAGCTCATCGCCCCAAAGTTCGTCCATTTTGCAAGTGAATACCCGCAAGTCAGCTTTTATATGCTCAACGTGGATGAAGTTTCGGATGTTGCTGCAGAACTCGGCGTCCGTGCTATGCCATCCTTCTACTTTTTTAGAAATGGCGAAAAGGTTGGCGAGGTTATCGGGGCCAACCCTGCAGCCGTCAAGGCTGCTATTGACAAGTATCGGGCATGAATAATCGCGGTCCGACTGTGGTGATATCGACGTCAGATTTCTTGCTGCAATACAGTATGGATGGGTGGATAGGTGATTGCATCTACCATGTCCATTCGCTTTTAGTTGGAACCTTGAATTGATATCTGACTGTGTTTACCCCCGTTTGTATCGCATTTTCTTCCAATTTTCGCCAGCTCAATATATAATAAAGCCCTCTATAAAAGTGCCACTGCTGTCAGAGTGCTTTGGATTATGAGACGCCGTTGGTCGGAGCACTGAAGCTGTATATAGAGAGCTTACAGATTTATATTCCTCCTGGTAACCATGTCCTGCATTGGGTTCATGGCGCTGAACTCTACTTAACCGACCGCTGGCGAACGGCCGGCATCAGAGCCATTTTAAATGTTCTTTGGGTCCAAGAATTCCTGATTAACTGATACCCTGTCACTCCACTTTGAAAAACGTCGTAGATATATTTGAAGAGATAATTCCGTTCTCAATAACTATGGAAAGTGAGGGAAGAAGCTCACCTAAGTATACGATATCTTTTCCTCTGACGGTTCGGAAAATAGCTACCCACAGATCCTGATATCAGCGCAATCCTAGGGCAAAGCGTACCCCCGCCGACGTCTTTTCGCTTTGACTTGCATGAATTTCACTGCCAAGCTGTACCGTTCTAGAATTATCGATCAGGCACCTGTGCTTTTAATTCTGTTTTGTCTCATCCTGCATTATGAGAAACCGCCCTGCTGCTTGGCTGGCCGAACAGTCGCACGCTGCTTTTTCTTGTGATTCGATAGGCTGTTTGAGGAGCTCAAAGGAAGGATCTTTGGGCAGCTACCCTCGCAGTGAAAATAACTCGTGCTACATTCACACTCATCGCAGCATTCTACATACTTGGATGTAAGACAGTGCGATGTGTTGAGAGCATTCATCAACTTAGCCATTCAAGGTAAAGTCTACGCCAAGTATCCGGGTCAAGGATTCGATAACTTCCCCGAATGGTGTGTTGACGCAGTGGGAGCAAGGAGCGAAAGTGCAGAGGGACACTTCCGGCACACAAGTCCAACTATAGAGGATGTGTAGCGCAGGGAATTAATGGATATCTGGAGTAAAGGCTTCTTGTCAAGATGGTAAAAGTTGGCGCACACTAGCAGCTTCCTCTCTAGCGGCGTCTATTCATTACCAGTGCCTTAAAAGGCTTGGTAATATCTCGGTTGGAATGATCCTTTACAAGAAGAATCTGAGGACCTCTGGGATTGGCACCGAAAGTGACAGCGGGGAACGCATTGAGGCCGAAGGACGATCCCGAAATTAGAGAACCCAGTCACCAATGTTCCTTTGTATGCTTGCGCGCCTCGGGTGCTCTTCCAGTGCTCGTTGAGCGTTACATGGCGGCCGTGGATGGTGGTGAGCGATAGGAATTGTTGGATCTTTTGAGGAGGTAATAGGCGCCTCGATGTGCGCTCTGAATAATGAAAACAAGAACGTTCCCAGCATTACTTCTCTCGCTCGAGATCCGCCCAGCATGAAAGTCCCAACCACCAGCCGGGACTCCATAGCCCTCGATGGGTACGTGGCTGTGGAAGTAGAGAACGCCTTGGTCATGCTTGTTTCGTGTGGTTCAGAGCTTCAATTCGCCGTCATAGCGGCGAAACAACAGGCAGGCGAGCTAGGAATTCCGACAGAAGTGGTAAGCATGCCAAGTATCGGTCGGTTTGACAACCAACTAGAGATATATCAGAAGACTGTTCTGTCGGATAGTCCGCATGTTGTGTCCGTGGAGGCATACGTATCCACAATATGGGCGAGGCTTTGTACGGCCTCGATCTCAATGGATTCTTTCGGCTATTCAGGGGCTGTGGCGGCCAGTTTCCGGCGCTTTGGCTTGGATGGTGATAGTATTGCTCGGAAGATACAGTGGCATGTACAGGGTATCAATGCCACTGCGAAAAGATGGGGCCGACTAGAATAAAACATCATCTAGAAGCTACCGAGGTACGTTGGGTGGACTTGGTGAGCCAAGTTGATTGTGATTGATAAGATGCAATGTCCTTCATGTTTTTATCAACATGGCTGGATGGAAGCATGCGTGTTTGTCTGGTGGAATTCTAGTGCTTACATAGTTTGCACTGGTGGGTCTTCCTCTAGCTGTCGTGTCCTTTTATTTACCTCTGCTTGAGGCTTCTTCCACTAATTAAAACTGATGGACTTGTTGGCTCAATTGAGAGCATGATCTATTTGCAGTCTTCTCGGTGTACTCCGTACTTACTATTGCCGTATTAGACAAATAAAGTCACCGGTATACTCACATAAAGAATTTGTACAAGTAATGCATTATCATAGTCGTGTATATACATGCGCCATCGAAGGGTATAACATGCCATGCAGTCCAATGCGACCAGCCAACGCCAACACCAGGTCATCAAATCATAGATCGTTCTTCAGCCCATATCTGCTATAGTCAGTATCAGTCTGCAAACTCAAGAAGCATAAAGACATACCTCCATCTTCCCCATTTCACTCCCTTCCCTTACTGCCGTTTCACGCGCAGAACTAAACAGAAGATCCAGATCTTCTTGATCCACCATCGTGATCATATCCCCATCATCCTGCATCCGAATCTTCAACGGACTGTGGAAGCCAAACTTATCCCGGATCTTCATCACGAACTCGCTAAAGTCGATCGTCGGTCCGATAATAATGTACCGTGTGTCCTCCACAGCATGCACCTTGACCCGGAACCTACGTACCTCCGGCCGGCGAGAGTTGGCTCGTCTTGACCCTCTGTTGGGTGATCGCGTTCGGCGTCGTGATTCGACCATCTCAAACTCTCCGTCTACATCACCTTCCTCCGCTTCGCTGGCGTACTCTGCTTCTTCATCAATGTACCGCTCCCGCTGACGGGGCATGCCCTTTCGACCTCCATTGACGACCACAGTCGGGCGAGAATACCCGTTGTACACATCCTCCCCGTACAATCTTTTCGGTGGAGGCGCGAAGCCTGTGTCGCTTGCTCCCCGTCGATGCCCCATCTCTCGATAGGCTTTGACTTCGCCTTGAGATGTGCGGTGATGTAGCTGAGGTGGCCCCCGCGGCTCCGATGCTGTGCGCGTAGTCCCTATCCGCGGCTTCTCCGGTGTTGTATCAACTCTGCATCCGGTAGGGTGAGCACCCGGTCGGTCCAGATCGAGGCGCGGCGGACGAGCGGCGCGGATGGAGCCCGGTCGACCGTTCATCCCAGAACTACTAGGGGGGCTGCCGACGCTGCTTTTGTCGGTATCTGGCGGTGGTGTCGGGGGGAATAGATTGCGGTTCAGGGGTGGTTCTGAGTGCTGACGACTTCTTGTGATATTTCGCTGTACTAGTTTGCTGGCTGCGTAGAGACTTTCGGGCGGAGCTCGATGGTCTATTCCGGACTGCGTTCTGACAATGTCACCTGGCTGGAGCGGGACACCACTACGATCCGATGCCGCAATCAACCGTGCCTTGCCCAGGTAATCCTTGGTCTTGAGGTTCTTGACCTTGGCCTCATTTGGTCGGTAAAGAACCCCTACAGGAATCGAAAACACCGTGTAACCCTATTAAGTTAATACGGATAGAAGACCAATCTTAGGCTTCAACATACCTCTGCTCGTTCTCGGATGGCATCGTTGATGACGCCATGGTCTGGCGTGACCTTCTCCTTTGCTGCATACTTCAGGTCCTGGATACCAGGCCCCAGTTGCTGTAGGTATATGTAGCACAGACCACGGTTGAAGAGAACCTCGCATGAGTACAGACGGAACTTCAGGCCCAGTTGCTCATAGTCAATGAATGCATTGCCTCTGAGGTAGAGTAATGTATCATTAAAGTTGGCCAATGCCTCTTCGAAGTCGCCCAGAAGAAAGTTGGAGACGCCTTCTTGGAAATACGCAATGGCGAGATATTGGTCCAGACTGACGGCCCGTTGGTAACACTCGACCTACAGTAGTCAGTACCGTGTCGTACACGTCAGACTTCGGCACATACCGCCTTCTCATGCTCTCCTAGTGTCGCATAGATCACGCCACAGTTAAAGAAGATCTTGGACGTGTCGGCAATCTGGTCAAAGACCCGGAGGGCTTCGTCGTATTCGTGGTGGTCATAGTGTTCGAGGGCCTGCACCCACGTCTCGATTTCCTGATCGTCTTGGTGAGCACCTGCAGTTACTTCCCCGGCACCATGGTGCATACCTGTTTAATGGACATGGCTTCAGCTATCCGAGAGCTTAGTGATACCTCTCTAGATCTCCTGAGGCCTGGCCGTTCCCTGACCTGACAACTGGGTCGTTGCAATGATAGACCGGGTCACAGACAGAGGTACAGCCCACGGGTTGCTAACTAGTAGGCCGGATAACTCTCGGTGTGCGTTCAGGTAGCAGCGGATATATACTAATGGCCAAGAAACCAACCACTGCAAGTTAACCACGCAGAGGCAGGGATAGTGATGGGGCCGGTAGGCCGAAAGACCTGGTTTGTGCCACAAAAGGATAAAAGCGTGCTGGGAGCTTTCTCAGTCGGTGAGCCAGGGAATATTGTCCCGCGATGGAGCCAGTGATAGTCCAAGCGCACGACGATGCAGCGAATTAGTTTGGTTTGGCGGGGAGATAGACCGGATATATATTTAGATCACGGGTGACCAGGGTGGTTGAATGGCCACTAGTGACTATGACAAGCAGACGCAAGGATGATAGATCGATAATGCGGTGGCTAGATCAATTCGTCTTCTCTGGTGAGCATTCGTCACGGCTTTTGTCAACCGTACGCTGTCAGTTGAGAATCTTGAGTCTCTGAAGTGGCCAGTTTCGGATGTACGAAGTCGACAAGAGCAGACTTAGTCCGCTGGAGAAGACAAACACAAGGGGAAGGGCAGGGAAAATCCGTGGCAGAGCTAGCGTGCAGAGTATGCAGCAGCAAGGCACTTGTCGATACTATACTTAGATAGTCAGGAGTACCAATAGATCCGATTCGAAGCGCCAAAGGGCAGGAAGGAGGGGAAAAAAGAAGGACTGCCAAGGGAGTCGAGATTATAAAAATAACCCCCCCGTTCATTTTGGACCAGCCAGTTGAAGTTCCTGGCGAGGGGCGTTAAGCAAGCGTTGACCTGAATGGTTGCAGCTGCAAGTGACTGGGATCCCTAGCTGGCATCCGAGTTGGTGATTGGTCCCCTGCAGGGGAAACTTCATCACATTGCAGGGAAGATCCCTACCATCCCCCTTCCTCATTGGTGGCTACCGCAATATTCACATATTTTCCATCTTCATTTCTATCCATTTCTTCCTTTATTGCCTGGCCTACTACTAGTACTGGTACCTAGTAGTAACTAACGACTACTCGTAGTATACAGGTAAGTAGTACTAGGTAGTATTGAATATATTAAAAGTCCGTTCCGACGAGCCATTGCGGAGACGAATAACACAAGAACAGGGAATACTCTCAGTAATTAATAACACTCTCCCGAGATGCAGTACGACTACGACCCCATAGGAGATTGCTACCGATCATAAGATTGTTACTCAATGAATTCCCTTGGCGACTGCCGTCCCGCAAACGAATGAGAAATACTCCGGGGAAACCTGATATGAGATTGGCAAGAATATACTTTGTCGCCCCGCCACGGCGCTTCCGCTGAATCCCTCACTTTCTATCAATCAATTTCCGTCGACTCGCACAATTCTGCCTGAACTTCCTTGCCGAGCATTGACTGAACACAAGAAGTTTTTTTAAAAAAAAAAAAAAAAAACAAAAAAAAAAAAAAAATCACGTGTGGCAGGATCCAATGACGCTCCGCGGCCGTTGCGATTTATATCCTTGCATCCAATAGCGGGGTTCCCGTCGTCATGGAACCCATTTCTCTTAACCTTTCCTTTTTCATCCACTATTGACTATGATCAGGTGGTGAGTTGATACCCTAGCTACTAGGTACTAGTATCATCTCTCCTCCTTCACCGTCTATCGAAAGTTCCACTTCCAGCGCACTGATCGATGAGAATCAATGGAATCACAATCCTGCCCATCCGTCGAACAGCTTCGGATCCAACAGCATCACGTCTAGCCTCATGCAGATTCATTCACATACGATACATCACTAACAACATCATCTCACGACAAGTAGGTATCACAACTTAAATAGAAAAAAGTTAAGGCAGCTCCCGCCTCTCCAATCACACAAAGTCAATGTGAATGGGGCCAAAAGGGCCCGAGGGCCTCAAAGAGATGCCCAAAAAAATAGAAAGAGACAAAAGAAAAAGAGCTAAAACTTAAACCATCCCCTGAGACACCTGTTCCTGACGCTCCTGCCACACATTCTTCCCGGAGCAAGAACAGACCATCTTATCATTATCCCACACACCCGCACTCCGAGCAATCACTCCAACCAATGTATCCGGGTCTTCCTTTCGGAACGGGCCCTCTTTGCTCTTCGACACCACCATACTCCGTCCAATCATCTCCCAAACCGCCAATGGTCGGTCCAGGAAGACATTGCCTCGTCCCTTCTCGTCCACATCCACTGTTCCAAACACTCCGCGTGGCTCCTTGGCCGCCTCCGATCCCAACACTGTAGCCTTCAATGACTCCCAGATGCCCCCGGTAGACGCGGCTCCCTGTGAAATATCTCCGGCCTCGCGCACCGTGGCCCAGTATTTGCCCGGCGCCAGTCCGTTAATGGTCAGATCCACAAGTGTCATGTTGGACGAGACCTGCACCATACGCGCCAATCCACGGATCTTATTCGTGGCCGAAGTCGCATGCGTCTCGAGAATGCAAACAGCGGAACCTAGTGAGTGTTATCAGCACAGGCCCAAGGATCAGGCAGATCGATGCCCGGCGGCAAGTGAAACAAGGATGAACAGAGAGAGACGTACTGTTGGAGGTCCCACTACCCCGTAGAATTGCATCGCGACCCGTAGCCTGAATCGCGGAAACGATGGAACTGGGTGGCGCCGTGCCTTCGATAAATACGAGCTGTTCTTTCAAACTAGCATCGACTTTGTTGATTCCTAGGGGAACGCCGTCAACCAATTAATCCGGACAACCAGGCAATCCATGCGACGGGGGAAATTAAATACCCTCGAGCTTGCTGAGGGTACTGGAGATATCTTTCACACAGCCCTCACAGGTCATGGGGACCGCGAAGGTGGTCTGGTTGAACATTCAGCCCTGATTTATAATATACTTGCTAACACACGATATAGAGCGGAACACACTGACCTGGAAGGGTTCAATCATGATGTGCGTTTGGGACGTGATCGCTTGCTGCGCAAAGAATATAGCAAGATAGAATCAAGTATCTAAATATTGTAACCACTGTTGAGTCACCGATAGTAATAATAAACTGTGTAGAAAGAAAAAAAGCAGAAGCCCCGCGGAACAAAGCGGGGGATTTGAAATCGGCATCGAATGCTAATAGCGTCATCCCTCCAATTAAATTACCGTTCCGAGAACCTCAGGCACGCAACTCCGAAACCAGCCTCCACATGGAAGCTTCCCGACTCTGGAGCTTCACCTCACTCTACTAACCAATTAATAATCGTAATCACCGCCTCCAAGTCCAGAAAAGATGTCCTCGAAATCCCGCTGGGCGGATGAAGACCCAGAAGCAGAAGCGATCAATGCGCAACGCAAACGCGAAAAGGAAGAGAAGAGACGCGCCAAAGCCGAGAAACAACGTCAGCTCGAACAGCAACAAGCTGAAGAAGCTGCCCGACAACGCGAAGCCGCAAACAATGATTCAGAGGCACCTCCCAAGAAACGTCGCCGACTCTCCAATGATCCGGACACAGCGGCCGAGGTTCAGGTTGAACCATCCAAACCACAAGACAAGCCATCGAATATATTACAATTCCCTACACAGGAATGGGGCCCCAGTCGGCATGTGGACAATTTCGAGCGATTGAATCACATTGAGGAGGGCTCATACGGATGGGTGAGCAGAGCAAAGGATATCACGACGGGCGAAATAGTCGCCCTCAAGAAGCTCAAGATGGACAACTCTCCGGATGGGTTCCCCGTAACGGGCTTACGGGAGATCCAAACCCTCCTGGAGGCTCGTCATCCAAATATCGTCTTCCTCCGTGAAATCGTTATCGGAACCAAAATGGATGAGTGCGTTTTCCCCCTGCTGTATCAAGACCAATTCACCCCTTCGCACTCCCTACTCCCCCGGACCTGGAAAGTTCAGATACAGAAAATTAACCCCAAAGCCCGGGGGTGAGAGGACAACCCCTCCTGCCCCCGATCACCGCATAAAACAGTGTCTTCCTCGTCATGGACTTTCTCGAACACGACCTGAAGACGCTCCTCGATGACATGCGCGAGCCATTCCTCCCGTCGGAAATCAAAACTCTCCTGTCCCAGGTCCTCTCGGGTCTCGACTTCCTCCACTCCCAATGGATCATGCATCGTGATCTGAAGACCTCGAACCTCTTAATGAACAACCGGGGCGAGATCAAGATCGCCGATTTCGGTATGGCTCGGTACTACGGTGATCCGCCACCGAAGCTGACACAGCTGGTCGTGACGCTATGGTATCGATCCCCGGAACTGTTGCTAGGGGCGGAAAAATACGGTACTGAGATTGACATGTGGAGCATTGGGTGCATCTTCGGGGAATTACTTACCAAAGAGCCCCTTCTACAGGGAAAAAATGAAGTCGATCAGGTGTCTAAGGTACGGTTTATACTTCATTTTCCTGGATATCCGTGACGGTAGATTTCGTTAAATGCGTACTGATGGAAATAGATCTTTGCTTTGACTGGTCCCCCAACACCACAGACATGGCCTGGCTTTCGTTCTCTTCCCAATGCGAAGTCTCTCCGTCTTCCACAGACCTCGGCTCCATCTGGGAACCCACCTCTTTTGCCACGTTCCAAGTTTCCCTTTTTGACGAATGCCGGCCTGCAGCTGCTTTCTTCCCTCCTGGCCTTGAATCCAAGCTCGCGGCCGACGACGCAGGAATGTCTTTCACATCCGTACTTCCGTGAAGACCCTCGTCCAAAGCCGAAGGAGATGTTTCCTACGTTCCCGTCGAAGGCAGGCATGGAGAAACGGCGGCGGCGGCAGACGCCCGAAGCGCCGAAGCGAGGCCAGGAGGCTCCAAGGCTGGACTTTGCTAGTGTATTTGGCGGCCAGTCCGGTGGTGACAGTGGAGAAACCGGAGCAGGTTTTACTCTACGCTTGGGATGATTACTACCTGGCCTGCGCACACAACAAAGTCATGGAAGTTGAATATTCATATATTTTGGAAGTCCTCTGTTGGCTTGTGGAATCGTTCGGTCCCACAATATCCAAATCTCTAATCTGAAATGGTGGTTATACCAACAAGACTGGGTCGTAAGGAGTGGTAACTTTGAGAGACACCTCAAAGCCAAATTATAAACCGCTGGACTGGAAAATAAGTATATGAATCCCCTTAACAATGCAGCTTATACATATTTCAATGGCCGTGCAGCATATGCTTTCGTACACAAATTACCACTGAACAATTGTACGCAGTCGGAACGGTAGATGAACGTTCGAGGCCGTCAAGCATCAAGGGAAATAGCGTCGTTGATACATTGGATACGTAAGAAGATATTCATCGACGGAGTCGTCACTGGCATCTCGCTCTGCTCTATATGGCCGAGAGGGTGGAATGTGGATAGGTCTTCCGGGGCCAATGATCTCCGGAACGTCTAGCGTTCCCACCGACGGACTGCGATCGTGCCCTAGTCCATTATACAAGCTTTCTTCACTCATGATGCTCCGTTCTGCTTTTGTAGGATTATCTCCCGATCGGGGTGACCACTGGTTTTGCCGTCAACGAAGAAGTATTCGTCTGTGAAGGATAGTAGTGATGCAAGATCACCATGCTCGATAGACGTCCATAGATTGTTCGACACAGATGTGAGATCCGTTACCGTAACCTCTTCGCTAGGGCGGGCTGACCATAGGGTTTGTTCCCCTGAACAGTCACTACGCCCCAGCCCACCAGTGTCGCCCGATGAACGCGACGGAGTATGATGATGGTCATCGTTGTGCCTTTCAGATGTCGCGTCTGCTAGATGCGTGCTTAAAGTTAACAATGTACAAACAGGATCGTTTGACACGTTGTCGTTTGTTCCGGATTCGGCGATATCTTGTGTCTGGGCTTCTTCTGTAGTCGATTGATATGCTGGCTGGGGAGGCTCTGCCTGTACGTCTGGAGAAGACTCATGATTAATGGCTGGTGTTAGGGCTTGATCTTCAACCTCGTCTTCCGTCCTACTAATACTATTATCGCTGTAGGCGCTGACTCGATCGATTAGTACTCGGGATTCTACTACCAACGCAGCGTTGGACACCTGAGGGGTTCTGGACGCGTAGAACCGGCCCGACGGTTGTCCATCTGTCGTTTGGGGTCTAGGAAAGCCGGGGGAAAGTGAGGGGCCTATGATCTGAGAAGTGCTCCCATTAACACTTGGGTCTCGAAGCGGGACTGGTGCAAGTAGGTTGTTGGGTAATGGTGTCAAAATTGTTGAATGCGAGGGCTCGGCCTCGGCGCCTGTTATTTGAGAACAGCCAGGTTCGGGAAGGCTTTTGGATGAACGGCTCAGCCTGGGAAGAGAGTCCCCTGATTCGGAGCCCGACTCGTCCATGAAAAAATCGTCCAATTGGATATATTCCCCAGTTGTCAATTCCCTTGAAAGCTGCAACCCTAACCCATTATTCCCCTCAGTCGAGTCCCTCGGGAAGATACTATGCGCCGCCTCGGTTAGAAAGAGGCCAGGCGGCCAGTATCCTCCAGTCAGTTCCTGGAAGGGATTGAGATCAGTAATCGTGACAGAGAATGGCCAGTTATCTAAGCATTTATCCACATCACAGCTCAGCGAAGACGCATCGTTGCACTCTGTTCGATGCAGATGAGTTCCAAAATCAGAATCTTCCTCTGTGCTGGCTTCAGAAATTGTTGATGGGAAGGAGGCGTCATCCTGCTGGTCCGAGGAACCCTCTGTGGCATCAGACGAAGGCCAAGCTCGAGGTACATTAGCGGTGCGATTTGTACTGAAGATAGAAGTGCGCCTCTGCATTCCCGCTCTCAGAGCTACAAGTCCGGAGCGTGCTCTCCGAAGAGACCGTTTGGACAGACTCTGGACCCAGCTTACAGGGCTTTCGAGGTTGGTGTTGCGAGAGGTATAATAACCACCCCTGTTCCATGAAGACGTAACAGCGGCAGGATTATGTCGAGGATCAAGAGGGTTGAAGACCGGATAATGGACGCTTTCCTCGCAGGATAGAGGAGGAGCAGGAGGTCTTACAATCCTAGCAAGCCATTAAATTCACGTTCCACGCAAAGGAATCGGTCACTGTACCTGGCTCTTCTTGCTATTGAGGGGCGGAGGGTGACCGAAAATGAGAATGCCTGGCGGCGTCTGTTTGCACGGCAACCCTGATTGTCCGTTGCCATATCAGGCGAGTTGATTTCCATCAAGGATGTATTCTCAAGTGAAACAGACAGGCTCGGTATGCCCCAAGAGTCTTGGAAATTAGTGCCCCTAGGGATTGGAGAAGACTGGCCCTTATGACTGGAGAAACCTTCTCAGGCACTGAACAGGCCACCAGCTGTAAGAAGTAGGGGTCGCGGTACTTGGTCCCAATCAGGGCAGGTACGAGGCAGCCACAGACATTGTTGATTGGACATTGTTTTTGGCAATATTAGTACTTGTAGTACTTGGTACAGTAGGGTTGGACAGGTAAGGATTCATTCACTGGAAGCTACTGGCAGCAGGCGCGATCAGCGGGGTGCGTTACTGTAGGTCTGCAGTCAATGTTTGCACTTTGGCGCATCATGACAGGAGGTATGGTGCATATATTGTGGCTGTTGTATTGCGAGATTTCAGACGAAGGTGACCATGAAAACTCGATCATTCACTTCCTAATCAGAGTCTTGGAGCTACTAGAGAGATAGCAGGATCTCACGATTTGGTCTAATACTGTCTACTGCTCAATGCAAGCGATGTGGCTATCCAAGGGCTCCGGCTGGTGTTGTGACACCCCAAGTAACTAAAGTGTTATGTTGAAGTAAGCTTCCAATACAATACAATACCGGCCTCCGTCGCAAAGCTTCGACACAACCTTTTCTTTCGTCCGGTCAGCCTCATCCTTCTGACAACCTCTCGATTAATTGCGGACCCCGAAGTTTTACTGCTCTACCCTTCCGACACTTAGCGTTCTGCTAATATCTTTACTTTGACTCCTTCCCTCTACAATACCCTCCATTTCATCGCCCGACGAGCTATCGCCGTCCTGTCCCTTCCGTCATCATGGCCGCCGGCCAGCAAGCAGTCTCCTTCAATGAGATCATTGAAGCTGGTAAACTTCCAGTTGCCCAACGCTGTTCCTTCTGACTTTATTGACTTATTAATTATTGCTTCTCTATCCTAAGATCGCCAAAAGAGAAAGAATGAAGAACTAGCCAACAGCATCCTGGGGAAGAACCGAAGGACGAGCGCTCCGGGCGCCGGTAACAACAAGGCGCAAACTGCGACACAAGGGAGTCTGGCAAGTCGGATCGGCGTAGCCAAGGTAAAACGATAATTACGAACCATCACGCCATCCTCCGACAGAGAGAACTGATTTCAATGCGTTGTTACCTAGCGTTCTGCACCTGCCCCCTCCAAGCCTAAAAAGGCCATCCGGACGCCGTCTGCACCAGCACGAGTCACCGCTTCGAACGCGAAACCCGGAAAGAAGCGTCGCCCCGATGAAGATCGCTTGATGTCTGCTTTGAACCCCGCGAGTGGACAAGCAACAGTTCGCGATGGCCCTGTCGGCCTTTCCATCAAGGGCGCAGGGTCGGGACCGTTTGTCGTTGTCGGCAGCAATTTCGCACCGGGCACTACCGCTGCAGATATTCAGTCGGCTTTGGAACCTGTGACGGGAAATATCTTGCGTTGTTGGGTTACCTCGCAGCATCCTACGGTTTCTGCAGAGGTCACGTTTGCAGAAAAGTGGGCAGCGGAGAGTGCGATTGCCAATTTCCACAACCAGAGGGTGAGTTTGCTACGCGGACACGGTGGTTTTTCGGTGTCTAATACACGATTATAGGCGGATGGCAGAATCCTGTCGATGCGAATGAAGTCGGGCAGCGCCGGTTCCCAGGGCCAGGATTTATTCGAGCGTTCTGCGGGCGCCCAAAACTCATTCAGCGATCTTCGAGAACAAGAAAACCGTAAGCGCTTGTTACATCGTGGAGCGGATCCTGCTGTTCAAGACGGAAGCTATGGGTTCGGCGGCCAGAACCAAGCAACTGGTCGCGATGATGCCTCCGGGAACCGCAATAATAGACGCAACTTCCGAGGAAATCGAAACGCGGGTACCAGCAGGAACCAAGCTCAACAATCAAACGAACAGAGTCTCTACAGCGATCAAATGATGGTCGATGCGCCCCCACGGAATCCGAGAAACTACCGGGGCCGGCGATAGATTACGGTGGACATTTCGATTACAGCATTTCAATCATTGGATCTTAAATAACCGCCATATGTAAGAATATCAATTGAAATACCGGGTTTGGACACTTCCGATTAGTTTACTTCATACAAGACATCGGATGTCATGATAGATAATCATCGTACTTTTTTGGGTGGAACTGATATGATATGATAAGGCCGATCACGTGCATCGGAACTTTTGCGGAGAAGATTTGGAGAACAAAACAATATACTTCAGCCATACCTCCAATACAACCTTTAATAATTCTTAACTACCACTCTTCCTCTTGATAATCAAAAATCTACAACCTTGAAGGCTTGGTGCCCCAAAATGAACCATGGAGCCCGGCGCGCCCTGACGCAATTGATCAGGAACCATCCCAACCGGTCACTCGTCCTAAAATCATCACAGCGATGGTCCTCAACCTATGAAACCCGACAATGGTCCACGCCACTGGCGCGCACACTTGCAGATGCCATTAAAGTATTCAGATTCGCTCAATTTCATGTACCCATCGAGAACCAGCTAACGTTCGCCCAAGGTAACAGGACCCATCCCCATCGCGGCATTCATGCGCCAGGTCCTCACCTCCCCAGAAGGCGGCTACTACACGACCAGACCCGCAGGCGACGGAGAGGTTTTCGGCAAGAAAGGCGACTTTGTCACTTCGCCGGAGATCTCGCAGGTATTTGGTGAATTAGTCGGAATATGGACAATTGCGGAATGGATGGCGCAGGGACGCAAAAGTAGCGGGGTGCAGTTGATGGAGGTTGGTCCCGGTAAGGGAACGTTGATGGATGACATGTTACGTGTGAGTCCACCCCGTCTTCTCCTCTCTCTCTCTCTAGCAAGCAAGAGAGATACTATCAGACCCCAGACTGACCGCCAGTGCCATACTCCAGACATTCAGGAACTTCAAAAGCTTCACCTCCAGCATTGAAGCCATCTACCTAGTCGAAGCGAGTCCCACTCTAAGGGAAGTCCAAAAGCAACGTCTCTGCGGCGACGCCACGATGGAGGAAACAGAAATCGGCCACAAAAGCACCTGCAAATACTTCAACGTCCCCGTAATCTGGGTCGAGGACATCCGACTTCTTCCACACGGTTCGCAACCCTCTCTCCAACCAACAAAAAACCACCCACTAACACAGCTCCGAAAACAGAAGAAGACAAAACCCCCTTCATAATCGCCCACGAATTCTTCGACGCCCTCCCCATCCACGCCTTCGAATCCATCCCGCCCTCCCCCGAAAACCAGCCCCCGCAGGACACAATGATGACGCCCACAGGCCCAACAAAACTCCACAAGCCCCTCAAACCCGCCAACACGCCTCAATGGCGCGAACTCATGGTGACGCTGAACCCGAAAGCCATCGACGAGAACCTCCCCGACGAGCCCGAATTCAAACTCACCCTCGCCAAAGCCTCAACCCCATCCTCGCTCGTCATCCCCGAGATCTCCCCGCGCTACCGCGCCCTCAAGTCCCAAGCAGGCTCGACCATCGAAATCAGCCCGGAAAGCCGCATCTACGCATCCGAGTTCGCCCGTCGCATCGGCGGCGCCTCGCAGCACCCCAGGAATGCATCTGCGCAGCCGGCACCAGCCAAGCGCATCCCCTCCGGCGCGGCCCTGATCATGGACTACGGCACCATGAATACCATCCTGTGAACTCGCTGCGGGGCATCCAGCATCACCGCAAGGTTCCGCCGCTGTCGGCGCCAGGGCAGGTGGATGTGAGTGCTGATGTGGACTTCACGGCGTTGGCGGAGGCGGCGATTGAAGGGAGCGAGGGGGTGGAGGTTCATGGACCTGTTGAGCAGGGGGATTTCCTGCAGACGATGGGCATTGCCGAGCGCATGCAGCAGCTGCTCAAGCATGAGAAGGACGAGGAGAGGAGAAAAACATTAGAAACTGGGTGGCAGCGCTTGGTAGAGAAGGGAGGTGGTGGCATGGGCAAGATCTATAAATTCATGGCCATTGTACCGGAGAATGAAGCAAGAGGAGGCCGGTTGGGTTTGGGGGTGGGATTGAGCTTTAGAATAGTATTTCGGGGAGCTTGGACGGCGATGGAGATTGTACTATAGATTTCCTCTTGTATTTTATGTATGTATATCCTGGTATAGAGGTATGGAGAAGTGAAGAACTGTTTGGGGTTGAAGGTGTAGGGAATAGCCTGCCTTCATTTGATAAACTCTACTGGATGTATTGTATGGTTTGCGTAATGGCTGAAAGAGATAACTGGCTGGACAATCGATACCGGCCGTGTTGCATCTCTGTGGTTATACGGGAGGTCTACTGTATGAGCTGAATCAACCGCAGATACTCAGGACAGAACTCGACTTGACAAGCGATATAACATATCCAAAACAAGAACATCTAACCCTCACTCCAGTCCACATAATCTCAGACGCATAAACCAAACCCAAGCCCAAAATCGTTAAGATAACACAAAAGACAGACCCATCATAACCACAAATCTACAGTCCACCAAACAGGTTCCCAAAGTTCCCGAAGCCCCCAAAAGGCGACAATCCAGACCCAGACCCAGACGAGGAGCCAGCAGCCTCGGAAGTCGACGTACCCGAAGACTCAGTCTCAGACTCAGAAGCAGCACTCAGCTTCCCCAGCAAGAACTGACTCGCTTCGCCGGTATTGCCAACGTAAGTGAAATGGGCCGGGCCGACGATCAAAGTGCCATCACAGACCATATCGCCCATTGCGCAGTAGACCTTGACCTTATCCTTGGGGAAGTTGGCGATCTGGCCGTGTTCCTGAGCGTTACGTGTGTAGCCGAAGAGCACGACGCCCTTGATCTTCTCCTTGACGTTGTCGGGGAGGCGCTTGATGGAGTCGTCCATTACGGCTGTGCCTTGGCTGTTGAAGGTTAGCTACTGCTACTACTACAGCTGCTGTATTGTGGGTGCCGGGGTCAGTGGGTAAACGCACCTATATCCACCGGCCACGATTTGTGTCTCCGGGCATTTGGTGACGGCCTGCTGGAACAGGTCTTGGGCTTCTTGGATGGCCGCCGGGGAGGTGTTCTCGGGCAGAGCGTTGGATGGCAGATCAGCTGTGTACTTCGGTCCGACACCCTGGCACGCTACTTGACCTGGTTTGGCTTTCTTTAGGTTGTTGCAGACTGCGGGGCCGGTTGAGATGCCCTAATAACAAAAGAAATGTTAGTACTTGGCTTGGTGCAGGTAATGGGGTCAGGGCTGGGGCTCACCAGAAGTCCGGGCTCCGTGGAAGCACGGGCAAAGATGAAGGTAATCGGCTTGCAAGAGCCATCTCGCAGCTCGTTTCCGCTGCTTAAGACTGCTCGAGTCGGATATGGTTAGCCAAGGAATGTTCGAGTGGCTCAAGTAAGAGTGGGTATTTAGATGTCGACATACGCTGACGTTCCTGGATGTCTACTGGGGTTGCAGCTGCCAGGGCAGCAAGAGCAAGCGTCAACAGACAGAGATGCATGACGGCCGGCTAAGTGTGTGAATGATTCTGGAGTAATGATTCTGGTGTACACAGTACAACATCTTGAGAAGAACGGGCCATCTTTATATACTCAAAGCACTAGCGATGCCAGCCAACAGGGTATACTTCGGCACTCATCAGTGCCATATCAACTCGACAGCCTGTGTAGCTCAATGACCAAGGCCATCGTTTTATCGAAAACATCCTACATATTTTAGCGTTTTGATGTGTAGAATACGGCAGTGTTTCGGACTGCGCACTAGTGTTAGCCAGGGGACCACTTCGGGGGGCACGTCCCCAGCTGAGGCAGCGATCGGTGGGGATCAGAAGCATCAGATCCCGAACCCTACGGCTTTTGTAAATTGTCCCTGATGAGGTTCTACACAGTACCGAGGCAAGGGGTCTCGGGGTGATGGTATCGGCTCTGAGGGGATCATAATTTAACTAAAACTCAATAGTGGCTAGGGATTAAGATAGGTCTGAAGACGGAGAGCTTGAGAGCTCTAATAACAATGGTTTCAACGATTTTAAAGCCTAAAAATGTATATAAAATAGTAGTATTTTCTCTAGGATCTCAAGAGCTGTCTTTGTCGCCCTATCCTGGTCTCCTTGCAGTCCAGAGGCCAGAGCTAACACCGAGCCCTTCGGGATGTTCGTCTTGTCGTTAGGTTAGGGTTTGTTACTTTAGCCGGTGGATGAAACCCGATATTTGGGTTCTACTTCGGACGAACTCCCGAAAACTGCATAGTACTGCGAAGAACCAATATTGAGCATCTCACCCGAAAACCCAGGCTTAAACCCCTGAAATCTCTCATCGATCTTCCCAGAAAGATACCCCACAAGAATCAAGAGCAAGAAAACTAGGCAGTAGGTTTAAACCTCGGAGCTCAGTAAATTAAATGATTCCCCTCCCCAAAAATAGGCGGAAGAAAAGAATAGCAGCACCTCATGACTCATGAGAATAGAAACTATGAAGAGGGTACAAGCCTAGTCAAAACTCCATACAATATGTAGACCGGATATACAAACACGTCGATTAAATCTCGGAGGAATGTTTCAGTCTGACCAGGGATCGTACCCTGTGTCAGGATGGGGCCATCCACAATCCTCTGCGATGTCTGACCACCGGAGTGTTTCAGGGTCATCGGATGCCTCTATACCAGAAGATTCCTCAAAAACCAGCAACTGGGAGGCATTCCCCAGAGGTCCGCGGGATGTTGATGGCTGTGTCGCTGTTGCCTGCTGTTGCTTTGCGGCCATCTTCGCTTTCTGCTCCTTCTTCTGGCGCTTTCTCTCTTCTCGCTCTTTTACCTCGGCGTCATGTTTGGCCTTCGCATTTCCAGCCCACACTGTTAGGCCATCGGGGTTCCGCAGACACGACAGGACCACGTCTCGCGTCGCGAGGGTGTCTTCCAAGCACACGTGGGGATGATGATCCGACTGGATACGTAGTTTCAAAAATGCCTCGGACAGTGTCTTTAGACTATAGAGGCGCTTAAACGCAGCGGAATAACCAAACACAGCTTCGCTAGCTAGTATCACCGAGTCAACAACTCGCGAGTGGTATATCCCCAGGACGTCCAGGTCGGAATTAAGGGAGTGGCCAATGAGGATAGTTTGCGCATCGATGTATTTGTATAGTTCCTGTCGCGCGGACTGCCATCCATTAAGCGCCTGCCCTCGTGCTACCGCCTCGGCCATTGCAGCTGGCGTTATGCCGCTGACCCTCGTCGTCCAGTCGGTTACCTTCCCCGTTGGCCGGACGTAGTTGTTGATGAGAACTTCCCCAGTGAGGAAGTCAACGGCGCTCAGAAAGGCTACTTCTCTTTGCCATCTTCTCACCTGAACCATTTCGCAATCAATGACGATGGCTCTTCTCGTTCCGTACAGATTCAAGACAGGCGTTTCCAGAAAGTATTTTCTTGCAACAGTAGCTTTCTTCGGACTCGACTGGTCACCTTGTGCCACACTTGGCATGGTATAACCTTGCCTTTGTAGACGAACAGAGGAGTGACACTTTGTGAGAAGATTCGCGTATACAAGCTCTTGCTCTGAAGGAGTGAGGGTCATGAAGAAGTTGCCATTATAGTATAGTCGCACTTCATTCAGAGGGCCACTAACAGGTACAGCATTCTCCATGTGATCGTGGAGTGTGGTACTGCTGGTATGGGAGACGGCTGGTTTCGAATTAGCGGCTTTCGCCTAGCATATCTAGAAATTCTAAGCCCTACCGATAGCTGGCTTCTTTACACCTTGATCGACGAGCAACTTTACTTGTTGTTGTTCTTGTTGCTGTTGCCCCTGCTGCAGCACTTGTTGATTGTTTTGTAGTTGCTCTTGCCGTGTCGAAGAGTCTTGTGCGGGAGGCACTAAGGCAGGAACAGCCTTCTTCCTCCTCGATACGGGACGTCGGTTGTGGGATGATCTCTGGTGATCATCGCGGCCTTTTTCAGTACCAAACTCCTTGTTGCATACGGGACAAGCAACGTGGTGGTGACCTAGGGCAGCCTGATGTTTTGCAAGCCCTATTGCAGACTTGAACGTATCCTTTTTACAGCGTAAACATTTAAACTTCTTGACCGGCGCCGACTGGTTCGCCAACGATGGGTTCTCATTGAGGGCCATGTCTTAACAGACAAAGGCAATCAGGTCGACTAGGATTGGCATGCGAGAAGAACAAAATACAAAAGTGTTCGTGGACGACAAATCAGTCCGGACTCGACTGGGCAGGAGAGCTCTTTTATACCTCTTTTTACCCCACCACAGCCTCATTCACACGCAAGCATGGGTTGCAATTGCATTGTACTAGCAGGAGACCATTGGCGGAGATGTATTTCTCGCATGCGCTGCCGCAGCAGGCTGGCGGCAACTGGAACATGTCGGGGTCGTTTAGCCTTATCATTTGATGATGGAGATCTGTTGGTCAGTTGTCGATGAATCTGCGGTCTTGGGAGTTCGGACCACATGATCGCCGCAGGAATGAGATCCCAGTCACGGGCTAAGACACATCGCATTCATTTATTAGTTCGACAGAAAGCCAACACTTGCGCTCCATGCCACTTGGCACCATCAGCCAACAGACAGCGAGACATGCAGTGCAATTGACTGTGCAGTTCCCCGCACTCCGTGTCCCGTTAGTACCAGCTCGAATCCACATGGTGTTCTCCCGATGGCTTTGGATTAATGCGAGCATTTGGTTAGTATGCTTTACGCATTCATAACAAGACAGGGCCTTTGCGCAGGCAACAAAGAGGAGAGAAAAAAAGAGAAAAAATCAAAGACAAAGCAACACAAGAACTACACACTCGATGCCATCTACACTAACCCCAACAAACAAAACCAAATTCGTCAAAAGAAAAACTAAAACCAAACCAATCTATTACATCTCTAACCGGGTATCTCCCATGCACAGCTCTAACCAATCACGAAACGAACCAAGGAACAAGAAAAACAAAATAGCCCTAGCGAAGGGCTCCGTGGGCAAACAACTCAATACTCCTGCCAGATATCCTCCACATACGCCTCCGTCAATCTCGTATCCTTGCCATACTTCTCCTGCCACTGTACAAACCCACCCTCCAGCACGTAGACATCCTGCTTCGGGCTCTCCTCGGAACTCAACACACGCTCTCGCTCGCGGGCGTAGCGCAGCGCAGCGGACGGACCACGCTGCTGGCTGAGGGCACAGTGGAACACGACCATCTCTTTGTCCTTCAGGGTGCGGATGAGCTCGGGCAGGCGGACGTCGAGTGAGGAGCTGGGGACCCAGGTTGAGGAGCGGATGTGGCCGCCGACGTGGTCTGGTTGTATAGGTTAGATTTTAGGATGCAGATAAGAATGTATCTGAGAGGTATTACTGACCAGAGTCCCGGACATCAATAATGGCCAGTTTACTGGGGGTACTGGCGGAAAGAAGCAAGGCTGAGAGGGCATCCCGACTCATGCGGGGAAGAGTTGCGATGCTGATGGAGGACATTGTAAATAGCAGGTGGCCGAGGAGTCTATAATTCGTAAATCTAATAGAGCCAGAAATAAATTATATTGCAACCGCAACGACCGATATCAAACCCCAAAAGGAGGAAAGTCCAATCTCGTGAAATCCAGAAGAAACAGACCGCCGTGCTGTAGAAGTATGCACGGATCACGTGAACACAGATTTCCGATCTGGAAATTTGGAGCCAAAGTATCCGGAGAATTCAACACCGCAACCCAGCCGGCTCCATCACCGCCATTACAGTCCCTGAAAACTCGCGAAGGCTCATCGAGGAGGCCGGAACTGACTACTCTCCTGAATTCCACGCAAAAAGCCCCCCTCGGTACCCCAATCACAATGGAGATGCGCTCCCTAACCCGCTGCCTCCGTTCGAGGCCGACATCTCTTCTCTACAAGCAACAACCAGGCCTCCTTGCGACCCAATTCATGAACAAATCCGCCATCCGCAGTTATGCTAGCAAACCCTCAGAACCCACAAAGGCTCAGACCCAAACCGCAACGCAAGCCCCCTCCGACTTCGACGAGATCCTTTCCAAACTAAACATCAACAACCGCGAATCCACCGCCGAAGGCTCACGCAACGGTCCTTCCGAAGACCCCCTCGCGCTCTCTCGCGCCGTGGGCATGTCCGCAGAGACAGAAAACTATCGGACTCCTGTGCGGCGGGTGGAGCTGAAGTTGGGACCTACTCTCGGTCGTCAGGTGCACGTTGAACCGGAGAAGGGCACGGATTTGGCCTCGGCGCTGAGGATACTGCAGGCGACATGCACGGCGAATAAGATCCGGTACCAGGCCAATGGTCAGAAGTTCCACACCAGACGGGGACAGGTGAGGAAGAACTTGAAGATGGAGAGGTGGAGGAAGCTGTTCAAGTTCTCGTTCCAGAAGACAGTTCGTCGGATCGAGAAGATGAGGGCGCAGATGGTAATTACGTTTGGTCTTTAATGGTGTATCATTACGGCTTGTATTGGGGTGTACATAAAATGGGATTGCAAGGGTCGCCGTCGTTGGGATCGAAGGGAGATCGCGTGTTATCCTGCTCACCTGCAGTGGATGTTCTTTCTGTCATGTATACTATGTCACTTGATTAGTACTCGGAGTTTAGCTGGCTACAATCAGAATGGGATCTATATCCAGTTCCTGTCAGTACTAGATACGTCTATATCTACCGCAATCTAATCTTTCTTCCCAGCTGTGAACCCTCCGTACCCATACCCTCCTCCGTTCCCCGTCATCGAGACGTTGCTGGCGGAATACCCCCCATACCCATTGGATTTCCCGCCATTTCCATACAGACCACCAATCGACCCCTTTGCCCGCGACGGAACACCGAGGATCCCATCGCCTCGCCAGCCCCGTCGCCGAGTTCGTTCCCAATACAAGGCCATGGCGGCTCCCAATGATGCAGCCAGAATGAAGAAAAACAGTTTCGAGAAGAAACCTGTTCCCTCCGCCAATTCGCTAATAGAAGACCCCCGAGATGGCCATCCGATGCCTCCTCCACCCTCAACCCAATTCACATGAAAAGTGAAGGTGAGAGGCTGCTCACGAACGACTTTTGTGCCATGCCCCGCTGTCCAAGGCTCACGGGCTGCCTCGGCCACTGCAGCTGCCTCCTTCTCCTCCTCGGACACCTTCTTCTTGCTATTGAGAAAGGACAATTCAAACTCGGGTACGGAGTATGCAGTACCGGCCACGGCATATCCCGGCGCCGTCTTCTTAGCCTTTCGTTTATTCTTCTTTGGCTTCGAAATGATGTTGTGCATGAGCACATTCATATCGGTCCAGATATGAAGATGACTGCGCTGCAAAGTCCCCTGCAGCGCAAAGGTGATTGGGGTATAAGGAGGTCCTTCCTCACTCAGCGCTGAAAGCTCGGTGCCAACAGCCTCGTCTTCATGGGCCTTGTCATCTGAATGCGAAGATGTGGGCGACAGGAGGGGCGCCGTGGGCACACGGCAGTTCATCGGCACATCGGAGTGGACATAATACTCGAGGAGGTGGTAAAGCTCATCGGAAACTTTGTCAATGGTGCAATTGACTGTCTCAGTCACACCGTAGCGAAGGGCGAGGGGGAGGGAGGTCTCCTTGCAGGTTGGGAATGGAATGTATTGGAGTTTGCCGAGACTGTCGGTGATCTGGAGAATTTGCGTTAGCAAAACACATATGGTCCATTGATATCCTCAATATGGCATAAATCTATGGTCAATAGGTGCGGGGAGCATTACATGTTCGCCGGAGTCACTAAAAAACCGGAGCCAGCGTTAGCATCTATTGACAAGTCATATCGCACGAACACAAACGAGAGTCTCCTCCACCTCACGTTCGAAAATACTTAGTATTATTATTCACACTCACATTGTCCGATTCAAGCATGTCACCGGCATGGGTTGTCCGTGAAAATATCCACCCTGAGAGGCACTCGCCGAGTTGCCTCCTGCAGCAACCGGCACCGCAAAAGACGAAATCAGTCCATAATAGGCGATCGCATTGAACAATTGAACAAGTCCACCCTTTACGAATGGCATGTTAAATACTCACAGCCCGCCGGCGAGGCGGAAGGGCTCTCTTGCTAATGTCGAGTCGATGTTGTAGAGAGGAGCCACGGTGGCGAGCCGCACATCCAAGGGAAACTAAGGCCGGGTTGGGCCAATCTTGCCAACGGAAGGCAAGTCCCGTCTCCATGCAATGAACTACACCGTGTCATTTCAACTTCCTCGGGTCGCAACCATTGCTCTCGCTACTATTACATTGACCTATAAATGGGGCGAATATTGAAAATTACTACACATATCTCATTCAATGGGATGTGACTAATTAACAGAAAGGTGACTCTTCATATCCTCGTCAAGATGGAAACATTATACTCCTTTTTTGTCCGTCCAATTTATGACCGGCTTACCCAATCGGAACACCTATGCCAGATTGGCCTTCTGCTTGAAGGCGGCCAGCAGACCACTGGTTGAAGCATCGTGACCAGCGCCAGCGCCAGAGGTCTCCAGCTCCTGCTGGATCTTCTTGGCAAGAACCTTGCCCAGCTCCACACCCCACTGGTCGAAGGAGTTGATGTTCCAGACGGCACCCTCGGTGAAGGTGAGGTGCTCGTAGTACGCGATCAAAGCGCCGAGAGTGGAGGGAGTGATCTTCTGAGCCAGAATCGAAGTGGTGGGGCGGTTTCCAAGGAAGGTCTTGTGGGGGACCAAGTTGTCGGGGGCGCCTTCAGTCTTGACCTGCTCGGGGGTCTTGCCGACCATCAGGGCCTCGGACTGAGCAAGGAAGTTGGACGCGAGCATGCGCTGGTGCTTGCCACCCTCGACAGGGTTGTGAGACTCAGCAGCCATGATGAAGTCCGACGGGATGAGCTTGGTGCCCTGGTGGAGCAACTGGAAGAAGCTGTGCTGGGCGTTGGTGGCAGGCTCGCCAAACAGGATGGGGCCAGTGGTGTACTTGACGTATTCACCAGAGCGGGTAATGGCCTTGCCGTTGCTCTCCATGGAGAGCTGCTGCAGGTAGGCAGGGAATCGGTGCAGGTACTGATCGAAAGGTGCAACCAGGTGAGTCTGGGCACCGAAGAAGTCACTGTACCACACACTCAGCAAACCGCCAATGGCGGGAATGTTCTGCTCCAGAGGAGTTTCACGGAAGTGCTTGTCCATGGCTTGGGCACCAGCCAAGAACTGGTGGAAGTTCTCATAACCGATGTAGAGGGCAACGGAGAGACCGATCGCACTCCAGACGGAGTAGCGACCACCCACCCAGGATTCGAAGCCGAACATGTTCTTCTTGTCAATGCCGAACTTGGTGACCTCAGCCTCGTTGGTGGAAAGGGCAACGAAGTGCTTGGCGATATGAGATTCATCCTTGGCAGTCTCGAGGAACCACTTCTTAGCGCTGTTCGCGTTGGTAGTAGTCTCTGCGGTGGTGAAGGTCTTGGAAGCGATCAGGAAGAGGGTAGTTTCAGGATTGGAGTCCTTGAGGGCCTCGGCAATGTGAGTTCCATCAATGTTGGAGACAAAGTGCAGCTTCATGCCCGGAGCACCGTATGGCTTCAGGGCCTCGGTGACCATAACCGGACCACTATCACAGCTGTTAGTGACTTCCAAAACTTTGAAGCTTTTCAAGGCGAGAACTTACAGATCCGAACCACCAATACCAATGTTGATGACGGTGTCAATCTTCTTGCCAGTGTAACCCTTCCACTCACCACTGCGGACCTGTTCGGAGAACTCCTTCATGTGCTCCAACACGGAGTTCACATCCTCGACAACGCTCTTGCCATCGACTTGCATGGGCTCGTTGGAGACATTGCGGAGAGCAGCGTGGTAGACAGCACGATCCTCAGTGAAGTTGATGTGCTCACCCTTGAACATAGCATCGCGGAGCTCCTCAACATTGGCCTCCTTGGCCAGCTTGACCAGAAGGGAGAGGGTCTCCTCAGTGAGGAAGTTCTTAGAGAAATCGAAGAGGATGTCCGAGTTGTCCACAGTGTTCTTGAAGGTCCGGCTGAACTTCTCGAAGCGCTGAGGGTCCTTCTCGAAGGCCTCCTTCAGGACAATGTTACGACCGACAGCGGTGTGGTGCTCCTGGAGCTCCTTCCAGGCGGAGAGCTCGGTAGCCTGCGAGAAAGGTGGCATGGTGATGGCTTTTGTTTCTTGAAAATCTACAGCAGAGATAGCTAATGTCAGTGCGGGGAAGCTCTCAACAGCAAGGAATCAAGAAAAGAAGAGTTATAGAACGAACGAGCTCAACCCGAAAAAGACATACCTGATTATAAGAGAAAGTCACCAAGACGAATGTCCAAGAAGAATGGATGAATGGGAAAGAAACGGAGGGAAAAACACAGCGGGAGTCGCGGAGGGGCAGATGACGCTTGAAGGTGGGCAGACAAACAATGGCCTGAATCCTATGGCGTCAACCGGTGTGCTGGGGTCCGGCTTTGGAGGGGCTGCCGTGGGGCTCACCTTTTTTTTACCTTTCAAGAAATTATCCGTGCCAACTGGACCGGGACCTGTCTAGACTATTCATCCTTTGTCAGATATTATATCTTAATTAGACGGTTATTATTAATGTGATTACTACGACATTGTCGATCGCCTGCAATTTGCGTGGAGTGCGCAACTTGTCGGCGGTTGACCACATCAACTCCGGAGCTATGGGCCCCGACGGACCACCATGGAAACTAACTATAGCTTTGGCAGCCACAACCCAATCGTCATACTGTCTTACTAGATACTTAATCAGCTTGTCAAACTTCAAAGCTATCTAAATTAGCAAACTTTGTTTTTTCTTCATTTTCTTCTCACCTCGTGATCAGAATCTCGCAAAAACTTTTACATTCCGGCAATAGGATGATCGGGATAAATTCCTTTCTCAAAAGGTACTCGGAAATCATTGACCGGTGATAAATCCGGGACGGGAACTCTATCGATGTACGGCTCTCTGTCAACTAGACTGAGTTTCTCCGTCCGCCGGTTAATTGCAATCGACGGATCGAGACTTTTTCTTTCCCTTTTCCAAATTCTTCTGGAAACCGCGGGAATCTGGCCAACTGGGCTTGTCAACCCTGAGACTCATATCAAGCATATCTCAATACATTTGCACAGCTAGTATAGACGTCTGTCCATAGAAGCATCCTCAACCGAGATTACTCGGAATCTGCTATGAAGATCGCGCAAGCATTTCCATGGCATGACTGATCCGATAACCATGGCAATGCCTAAAAACAATGATTTAGGGGGCTCTATGAGGTTAAGTAATGTTCGACTCCGATGTTATAACTCTATACGGCTATGTGATGCGGTAGCCTTATCTCAGCACCTACCAAGCTGACCCGCCACAGGTCACAGTTGAACGGGGTTCAAAAAAATCTCGGCGGTGCTCAAAATTCTGTAGAAATGATATGCTTGGAATCCGCTTCAATATAAGCACTATAGACTCACGTGTTTTTCTGGAGCACAATAACTAAAAGGCTAGGTGTGATTTAATCAGTATTAATTCGGGTAGCGGTGGTGTTGCTTGTGAGAAATAGCATCTTAGAAAGGGGGGCATGGTCATGTTATATATCTTGTAAATTAAATAGGGTATCAGAGTCTAACTCGATCTCGACCCTAGGAGATGTGCACTAATTACGGTCTTGTCTCTCTTGGGCCCTTTCAAATCCACTTTGTTACGATTTCTATTCGTCTAGGTCTGTAATCCAAATAGATTCCTGAGTCAACTCGCCTACAAGTCCGAGGATTAGTCTGCTGTCAAACTATCCATGGCTTGACGGACTTCGAATAATTCAACCCTGTCTCTCCTCCTCGTATCTGCGACATTCGTCACGGGGGATGCCCTTTTAGGGGTTCCAATTCATACAAACCTTGATTCACCATCCCTTGCTCAAGACTCTGCCGTGAGCAATCATGGGGAGAGTGTTGGGTGATCATTGCCATACTGAATCTATTCAGGAAGGCATTATTGATCGATGCGTGAAGAGGAGTCTCTATAAAGTTGGAATATCGATTCCATGATATTTAGTGTCGTGATTTGATTGGTTTACGGCAGATCTCGGAATGCAGCACTTGGATCAATACATTCAGCCTCTTGTTTTCATTCGCTCCTGAGGTGATATGATATATCCTAGTCCTGCATTGAATTTGGTTATTATGTGGTCACCAACAAATAACCAAGGAGATGTTTGGAGTGCAGGCAAAAAGGCAACCTGCACACATTTTCTGGATAATATATCCGTTGCCTCCGATTCCAATAGAGTACTGAATGCGTATCTAGAATAGGCACCGCAAATTCACATTAAGTTGGACGGAAATTCCAAAAACAAAAAAAAAGGTCTGAATACAGGATTGTCCCCTGAATGTAGTTATAAAAGGGCTGGTCCCCAGTGTGGTTGTTGAACGCCATCCACATTTCTTCGTCTAGAGATCAGCATGAGACTTTCTACCCTGATAGTGTGTGCCTTCGGTGCAGTTGTGCTTGCCCGTCCAACTGAGAGGTTGGACTTGGAATCACGAAATGATTGCGAGGTAAGGTGACTTCAGAACTCTCAAATCTCATCTGACATTTTGTTTAGGCCTGCGCTAAATATTGTGAGGATCCTTCGAATGGATCAGCTGTATGAATCCTCCATCCTATGAACGGGAATTCTTTTTCTGCGTGATCAGATGCTGATTGATATTAGGTTGGCGCAAGTTGCTATATCGTCAAATGCGGCATTAAATGTTTGATCGGTTAAGGAAGTGAACTGGATTTTTCGTTCCAACGGGGGTTTGCTACATTCCCTCGCACAGACAAGATGATAGATTCTACAGGCCAAGTCCAGGGCAATATTGATTTTCTGTTGTCGATTTACAGCATGTATGCTTGGCGTTGTCTCCAAAAGGACGTGTAATAGCAAGAACCCTATGTTCTAGTACTGTATTACTGTATACTTCGATCGATATTCCTTGTATCCTCTACACATGTTGTCCAGAGATCTATGAAACGGCTATTCGGGAACTTTGCTTCATATATTCATGTGCCAGGTATTATAAGCTCTGGTTGTAAGTTTGGTCTCATGATGGTTTGTCTATAATGTAGAA